ATCGCCTATGCGTCAAACCTCTCGGATATTTTGCTTGTAGACGCGCACTGCAGAACAAAACAAATATTCCTGCTTCCATTCGTATTCCCCCTTCCCCATTCCTCTTCCCACTTTCGCATTTCCTCTCATTTCCTGTGCTCCCTCTCCTCCTTCGCCTCCTTCTCTTCTGCCTCCTGCCCCCGTTCCGCTCCTACACTATCTTGCTTTCGTTATCATCAAGTCCTCCTCTCCCCGTATTAATATCCTGCTCCTAATCTGTCTCCTCCTACCCAGGCGCCTCCTGAAGACGAGCCGCCTCGCCTCTGCATCACCCTGCTGCCTGCAGCTGCCCCTGCTGCTGCGCCAACTCCCCCTCCCCATCCCCCTGCTCACCCTGCTCCTTTGGCGTAGCGGTTTTTGTTCGAGCCGTGGGGGCATCGGCGACCCCGGTGCGCCGGAGTGGCGCAACGGCGGCGCCGGGCCGGAGTGGCCGGCCGCTGGATGACGCTGCCCTTGTGCGAGGTGACGCTCGCCGTCGTGGGGGGGGACGTGCCTGAGGCTGCAAGGCGATGGCCGTTGCAATGAAGGAGGGTAAAGGGAAGGGGTGGGGGCAGGCAGGAACAGGAGGAAGAACGGGAGAGGAGGAGGAGGAGGAGGAGGAGGAGGAGGAGGAGGAGGAGGAGGAGGAGGAGGAGGGAGAGGGGGAGGGGGAGAGGAGGAGGAGGAGGAGGAGGAGGAGGAGAGGAGGAAGAGGAGGAGGAGGAGGAGGAGGAGGAGGAGGAGGAGGGGAGGGAGGAAGAGGGTTGGTGGGCCGCAGGCGCGCGGTTCAACGTTGCCAGGAGCTTGACTGGGCATGCTCGCAGGGTGGAAGGGTTGGACGGGGCAGTGGATGAAGGGAGGGCACGGAGGAGGAGAGGGAGGCCTGGAAGAGGGAAGGTGGCAAGCATTGGAAGGGCAGGGGAGGAGGAGGAGGAGGAGGAGGAGGAGGAGGAGGAGGAGGAGGAGGAGGAGGAGGATGAACGGGGTGAGGAGGAGGAGGAGGAGGAGGAGGAGGAGGAGGAGGACGTGGAGGAGGAGGAGGAGGAGGAGGAGGAGGAGGAGGAGGAGGAGGAGGAGAAGGAGGAGGAGGAGGAGGAGGAGGACCAGTGTAGACCCAAGAGTCATCAACGATGTCGGAATCAACCCTCCCAGCTCCCTCTTCGCAGGCTCCTACAACGGTTCATCTCCACTGAGGGACCTGCCTCGTCGGAAGATAACTGTTTGAATATTCTGAAGCATGTCAAAACATTATTCTCGGGATACCAACGCCACGGATCGATCTGACTGTTGCGTCTTGACGAGCCTGAATCGTGCCATAATGCCATTTCGGGGATTTCAACACAGCGAATCAACGCAACTGTTGCACCCGCAGAACCCGAAATCTTGTCACAGCACCATTTCTGGTATTCTGATCATGGGCACCCGTGAAACTCTTGTAGGTTTTATACACGAATGTGCGCGACGCTCAGGCGAGAAACCCATTTGGAAAAGGAACCGCCTCAATCCGTGAAGCTCTTGCAAATTCGTAGAACGAGCGCACGCGGCGCTAAGGCGAGAGCCACATTTTGAAAACTACCTGCCCTCAATCCGTGAAGCTCTTGCACATGTTTGACAACGAATGTGCGCGGCGCTAAGGCGAGATTCACATTTTGAAAAGGAGCCGCTCAGAGAAGCGGCGCTTCCCGCTCTTGTCCAGCAAGGTTGAAATAGGCCACCTCCCATTCGCGCAGCTGTTGGAAATTTTGAGTTGAGTGGGAAGGAATGTTGGTGCGTGCTTGTTTGCAGGTGTGTAAAGCGACAGACAGAGGTTCGAACTAAGCCGTCTTCGATTCTTGTGGTTGGTAGATCCTCATGGTCCTCAGACGCAGGGAGCCGCGAGACTCACGCGAGAGCCGCTGAAAAAGTACCAGCTCCGAGCGTATAATTGTTTGAGGATTTAAGCTGTGAGATCATGCGCAGTGTAAGGGCAACCCTGGCAACATAGCAAACTGTAAGTTTAGTCGCCGTCCGCGCAGCTGTTTGAGGTTCCATGATGTACGATGGTGCGTGGTGAGACAGTTCCAGGCGAGAGCGGCATTCTGAAAGGGTACTCCACCCGCGCAACCGCTGGGATCTTTCCGGACGAGTCGGTGCGGCGCTTAGCAGTCGCGCATCCCGCCTTGTATCTGTGTAGCAGTGTAGCTGAGGTGAACTCATCAGGCGGCCTATGACAGATCTCGCCATCGCGACAGCGCAGCAACGAAGCACACCGAGGTTGCCAGTAAGACCCGAAGCATGACGAGGTTAACGCTAAGACCCCCTCGACTTACTTCAGCGCCCTGCCGAACCTGGCGCGGGTCTCAAACGCCCCTTTCCCGTTCGCGGCTTCGTCACCCTCCTCCTCTTTCCTCGTCCCTTCGCCCTGCTCCGTCTTGGAAGGATTTTGGAAGCTTCATGATTGCCTCGTGGTGGCCTCGGGGAGGCATCTTGGGGGCCACTGGGGGGTTTGTCGGGTCGTCGCGGGGCCGTCTTGGGCGCAATTGTTCTACCGGACACTCTCAGAAACGCTCGGATTGAGCAATCTTGGGGTCTTCTGGGCGAGTCTTGGGGCCATCTTGGAGCTCTGTTGGCCCGTCTCGAGGGGTTCGGAGCTGTCTTGGGCCGTCTTAAGGGCTTCTTGGGGATGTCTCATGCGTTTCCGATGCAATATGGCGCCAATCGCCTCGGAAGGACATATTTCCCAACCCTCCTGCGTTGGGTTCTCGTTTTGAATAGAGCACTGCTCGCGCGTCTCCTTTCTTCCTTCCCGCCCCTCTCTTCCCCCCTGCCTTTTACCTCGCTCGTCGCTGCGTGCCAGCTGGGGGGCTGCGATCTGACAAACTGTCGCCACTTTCGAGGCCTGCTGGGGGGCCCAGCACAGTGGGTACCCACCGCGGACTCAAATTAGACCTCGCCATCCCTGGGGGGCTGCGATCCGTGAAGCTGTCGCCACTTTCGAGGCCTGCTGGGGGGCCCAGCACAGTGGGTACCTACCGCGGACTCAAATTAGACCTCGCCATCCCTGGGGGGCTGCGATCTGTGAAACTGGTCGCCACTTTCGAGGCCTGCTGGGGGGCCCAGCACAGTGGGTACCCACCGCGGACTCAAATTAGACCTCGCCATCCCTGGGGGGCTGCGATCTGTGAAACTGTCGCCACTTTCGAGGCCTGCTGGGGGGCCCAGCACAGTGGGTACCCACCGCGGACTCAAATTAGACCTCGCCATCCCTGGGGGGCTGCGATCTGTGAAACTGTCGCCACTTTCGAGGCCTGCTGGGGGGCCAGCACAGTGGGTACCCACCGCGGACTCAAATTAGACCTCGCCATCCCTGGGGGGCTGCGATCTGTGAAACTGTCGCCACTTTCGAGGTAGACCTCGCCATCCCTGGGGGGCTGCGATCTGTGAAACTGTCGCCACTTTCGAGGCCTGCTGGGGGGCCCAGCACAGTGGGTACCCACCGCGGACTCAAATTAGACCTCGCCATCCCTGGGGGGCTGCGATCTGTGAAACTGTCGCCACTTTCGAGGCCTGCTGGGGGGCCCAGCACAGTGGGTACCCACCGCAGACTCAAATTAGACCTCGCCATCCCTGGGGGGCTGCGATCTGTGAAACTGTCGCCACTTTCGAGGCCTGCTGGGGGGCCCAGCACAGTGGGTTCAAATTAGACCTCGCCATCCCTGGGGGGCTGCGATCTGTGAAACTGTCGCCACTTTCGAGGCCTGCTGGGGGGCCCAGCACAGTGGGTACCCACCGCAGACTCAAATTAGACGCCGCTTTCGTCCTTGTTCTCCTCCTGCAGTCACCTTCCCTCTGCTGCTGCCGTGCTGATGGTTCGGCTTCCCGCACGTTTTTCTCCTGCTCTGCGTTCCCGACTCCCCATGTCCTCTTCGAGCCTGTAGCTGTCGCCCCTCGTTCTTGTATGGTTTTCCTGCGCATCATGCCATAGGCGCGTGTCCCAAGTAGCTTACACATCAAATTGATTGTCCATGCAAGTTTCGGCCAACTCCTCGTTTCCATTGATACAAATGGGTTGGGTACGTCACAGGGTAATTTTTGGAGGGGAATGTTGGCCTTCGCTCGAGCCTCTTTGGGTGTGGATTCTCTTGAGGTCTTCTTGGCGGCACCTTGAAGCTCGCGGAGTGTCGTTGGGCCGTCTTCGGCTGGTCTTGAATTATGTCGTAGCCGTCTTGACGCGATCTTGGGCCGCCTGGGAGCCAAATTGAACGCCGAAGCGGGCGCCGGGAAGCAAAACTGGCGGGGCGGTTTCAGAGCCCGGTTGCCCCGTGGGATGGTGGTGGTGGCCGGCGCTAGAAGGACTCAACAACCCCGCCGGACAAGTAAGAGGCATTCTGACAGGCCCCAACGTGCCGAAAGCCCGGTGGCAGATAAAACGATTGTGTCCGGCGCTAGGCGAGAACCGCACCCTGAAAGCGACGCTCCCAACATCAGCGTGTCTGTTGGGAGATTCAGCATGAACGTGAACGACGGTGGGGCGAGGGCCACATGTTGTTGAACATGTAGGGGATCGCAAGCTTTAGGACCACTAGTTGTGAGGAGGTCCAGGTCGAAATGCCCAGACCGCCCTACAGTCAGTCATTTCTGGGGGTTCGGTGGTTCTGGTGGTGCGACGAGCAAGAGGAGGTTCTTGTCGAGGGCGGAGGTAGATGGCAGGATGGGGGGGGGGAAGATGATGAGGAGGAGGCTGCAAGGCGATGGCCAGTGCGAGTGGTGCCTGTCGCGGACTACGACGGCGACTGGGGGAGTGCGTACCTCTGCGGCCGGGCAGCAGAGGTCTTGGGCAACGTTCTCGTCCTCGTTCCCCTCGCGCTCCTCATCCTCCTGGCCGTCCTCCTCCCGCTTTTGCTCCTCGTCCTCCTCGTCATCCTCCTCTTGTTCCCCAGACAGTGTTTGTACTCAGGGGTTCTTAGCTGTCTTACTCTGCTAGCTGTGGTTGCACTTCGGGGTTCTGACGCGTCAGTTGCAGAACTGGTTGAACGTTCGGCCTTTCGCCACGGTGCCGCCTGTGCCGCCTCGTGCGAGCCTCGCGGGCGCCCCGCGCTTCGGTGGTGCGCCGAGGTTGCGCCGCGTCGCCGGCCGTGCCGCCTCGGTGGGCGCCCCGTGGGCGCCGCGGACAGGGCTTTGACCACATAGCTTAACATCGGTAGAGCTCACACCACGTGGCTTTCACTGCATGGCCTACACAGCATAGCTTGCATCACACAGCTTTCACCCCACAGCCTCCATCCCCCACTTCACACCGCACAGCTTACACGACGCAGCTTGCGCCCCGTAGCGTGCACCGCATAGCTTTCACAGCCATAGCTTGCACCGAATAGCTTGTACGACATAGCCTGCACCACAGGTTACACCGCTGGCCCTCCTCTCTCCTCCTCAACTCTTGGCCCATACAGTGAGCGGCTTGAATAAGGAACACTTACTTTTGAAGGGGCTTGGTCGTTCCTTAGGCTTGCATGCGTTATTTACCGTTCATTATATGCGTTATGTATTATGTATCGTTCCTTATGTCAGGCCGATGACCGCAGTTCAATGGCGCACTGCTTGGCCCTCAACTCTCCTCCTCAACTCTCCTCATCCTCCCTTTTTTCCTCCGCCACTCCTCCCCCTTGGGCGACGCACGCCTGGAGACGCAGCCTCGCGGCACCTGCGCTTTCTCCTCCCTCCCCTCTCCTCCTCCTCCTCCTCCTCCTCCTCCTCCTCCTCCTCCTCCTCCTCCTCCTCCTCCTCCTCCTCCTCCTTGACATCTTCCCCTCCCACTCCCACTCCCTCTGCCTCTTCTCTTTCTCCCCTTCTCGCCCCTCATCCCCGTCCGGCGGCGCAGGTCCAGCGCCACCTCGGCCTGCTGGCGGAGCGGGGGCAGGGGAAACCGCTGGGCCTGCTGCTGGAGGCGGCCGGCGCGGAGGAGGAGCACGGCGGCGTGCCCGTGGAGGTCCCGTGGCCGGCCGGCCTCCCAGTCGAATCCCTCGGGGGCTTGGGACGGGGGTCAGTGCAAACGGGGGTCAGCCAGAGCACTGGATTTTGCAGGATCCTGCAGAGCCAGGGTTGCATTGTCCCGGGCTTGCGCGCAGGATCTCGCAGGATCCTGCAGGACCTCACAGGCTCCTGCACAGCCTGACCGACCCGAGTTTGCATTGACCCGGGCCAATGCGTCCCCGACATTCCGGGTTCAAGCAATGGCAAGGCGTTTTGGCTTGCCTACCATCGCCCCCGCAGTTGCAGATCAAAGTGAGGGGTCGGCGGGGTCGTCGGCAGCATGCGGAGCTCTGAAGAAACCCGCGGCCTTTTTTCTGATCCCTTCTTTTTTGCAGATTACACAGCGAAGCCGACGCAGACGTTGAATTTTTGTCAAATCAATGTGGGTGGATCGCGGGTGGATCGCGGGTGGGTCACGGGTGGGTCACGGGTGGGTCGCGGGCGGGTCGCGGGTGGTTCGCGGGGTGGGCCGCGGGGTGGGGCTCGGGTGTGTTATGGGCGAGTCAAGGGCGAGGGCGACGACAACAAACAAGCAATCATAATCCGCGCCGCGAAACTCCACTTCTGCCACGCACCCATTGACAGTGAATCGCCTTTCGGCCCCCCTCACTCTGATAGGCCCATCAAAGAATGTTCTGGGAACTTATTGGCAATCGCGAACTTGTCTTAGAACAGTTCTGGCTGATACCGCTGTTGTCTAATACATCGGCCGCATCTTTGAGAACACCGCCGTGTCGATTAGAGAATTCCGCTGTTCAGAGACGATTCCGTGGTAGGCCGAACAGAATGCCGGGACGATCGGTCTCTGCTCAATCAGTCTCGTCTCATTCGGTGGCATCGCCTCACGGGGACAGCTCTGGCCGCGATGGACTAGGCGCTCAGTGTCAAGTGTGCCGGCCCGGTCTCGCCGGTCTCGTCTGATGTGCGTCTTGGTCGGATCGGACAGCGGACATTTTGTGAGTGCGAAGCCGGCCATCCAAAGAAGAGTTGTTGTTCAAGTGATTCGTTCTCTTCCTACGGCTAGATCTGTTGCTCTTCATCGGCTTCGCTCCCCCGCCATCGAGGGCTTCGTCCTCCTCGCGTGCGCCTGCCTCCTGTTACATGTTCCCTCTTCTTCTACCCCCTCTCCTTCCTGGGCCTCCCCTTCTACGCATTGTAGTGTTCCCCATGCCACATTTGTATCCGCAGTCCTCGGAGGCCATCGATGCGGACACACGGCTGATTCACGTTTCTTTGGTTTTGCTTGTCCTGTCAGTTTTCCGTTCTGTCGTGGTCTGCCCGTGAGCAACCTAGTTGGGTTTTGTCAATGAGTATTGTCTTGTCTGGTGGGGTCTCATCTGATAGTATACGGTACACGTCTGTGTCAACATACATGGGGCTATCCAGAAAGGGCCTTGCCTTCGAGGGCCAAAGAAGTTGGTGTCTCTTCCTCGGCTGAAGGCCGGCGAGAGCTGGCGAAAGTGAAAGGAGGGGGGCCTCCGTCGGCGGAAGGCCAGCGGAAGCCTTCGGAAGTAAACATCGGCCTCCCAAGAGGTGGCAATTTTTTCCAGGGTTTCGGGAATCCGCGATACATGGTCGTCTGTGACAAGTGTCTTGGCAGGAAGTGCCAGGACACGGCGTGCCAGAAGAGCGGGCGACGGAGCAAACCACAATGGCGTCGTCAGCGCGGCACCACTATCGAGAGACTGCTGCCAGCGTCTTCGGGGCCCTCCTCGGCACCTTGTGCTGTTGGGTTGCTTGGGCCGTCTTGGGAGCCTCCTGGGAACAATTCTGGCGGTGGCGGAAGGCCTCGCCCTTTGGAGGCCACGAGTGGTTTCACACACGATGTTTTATGATGATGATGATCATCATGGTGGTGGTGATGATGACGCTGATGGTGATGATGCTGATGGTGCTGATGATGTTGATGAGGATGTTGATGATGTTGATGATGATGCTGGTGGTGATGATGATGACGCTGAGGATGATGATGATGATGATGATGCTGATGACGATGACGATGACGATGACGATGACGATGATGCTGATGATGATGATGATGATGATGATGATGATGATGATGATGATGACGCTGACGATGAGGATGATGTTGATGCTGATTATGGTGCTGATGTTGATAAAGATGATGCTACTGAGGACGATGATGGTGGTAGTGATGATGATGTTGCTACTGTGTTTTCCGCACTCCCATGCTCCATCTTAGAGACGACACCCTGGGCCTTGAAGCCCGACGGGGGGCCGAGGCCGAGACTCCTACCTGTGCTTCTTGGGCAGGGCGCGGGCGCAACAGCGTGGAGCGTCGGTGAGAAGCTCCTCCCCCCCCCCCCTCCCCCAGAGATTCACGGCTTGAGGGGACTCGGCCACGCGCAGAGGGGGGTACAGTCGGAACGAGGTATCAGATCGAGGTCGGTTCGGGGAGGGTATCTTAAGGTTCTTCGTGTTTGTTGGATACTCTTGTGCATCCTGGGGGGGTACCCCTGGATGTTCTGTGCGTTTTGGCGGGCGGAGGGCCTCATGTTCCTGAGGGGTGTTCTTTTGCCCTGGGCCCGACTGCAGGGGGAGCGGGGAAGGCTTCCCAGACACACCTCTGCTTCCAAGCCTCTCCCCTCCCCCCTGCCCCCTGGTGCGCGCCGCCGTCCTGCGGCTTCCTCGACGGCCGCGCTTCGAGCGCCGCCCGCCCGACGGCGTGTGGCCCGCGGAGCCGCCCGAGGGCCGCGGGTCGGGGCCCCCTCGCTCTGGACCTTCGTGTCGGCCCGATCCCTCCGATGCCTCCTCTGCCTCCTCGTTCCCGTGCCCTGTGCGCGCCACCAACCTCCCCCCCTTGCCTCTCACCTCCTCCTCCTCCTCCTCCTCCTCCTCCTCCTCCTCCTCCTCCTCCTCCTCCTCCTCCTCCTCCTCCTCCTCCCCCTCCCCTAGGGGTTCACGGAGTGGAGAGGTGGGCTCGGGGCACGCCTCTGGGCCGCCTGCCACCTAGAGAGGGCTTGTGTGATCAGGCCTTCCGGGGTGCTCTCTCGTCGCCTCGGCCGGACGCAGCTCGAAGAGACAGGCCAGGAGGAGGGGGGGGGGTCGGGAGGGGCCCAGGGGACAGACTGAGAGGAGATGCTTGGAGGTCTTCGCAGCTGCCTCGAAGGCTTCGGTGCGCTGTCGAACGTCCTCCGTGGTTCTCGGACGCTAGGGCCCGATCCAGCATCCCTCCATCGGGCGGGGCTAGAACGAGGACAAGGCCGTTCCATTGCGTTCCGGCACGCCCTCAGAGCGCCCCAGAACGCTCTGAGAAGGCCGCGGCGCCTGAGACGTCCTCCAGAGCCGTCAGATCTCAGAGATCTTCGATTTTGGAAAGACAAGAATGTACCCATACCGCTACTCCCCAGACCTCTCCCGGGGTGCGTTCTGAACAGATTTTCGAGGCGAATCCAGCGGTCGCGACGAGGGCCCAGGGAAATGGCCGCAGGGTTAGCGGTATGGGTACCTTGTTTTCGTCTGAGATTTATCCTCACCCGATTTTGTCCTCGTCCTGGCGCCGTCTTACTGTCCAGCGTTGCCAGAACGAGGGACCATCCCCCCTTGCTCGGCGAGAGTGGCAGAGCACGGCGGCAAAGCAGCGCCCCGACGATGCGAGCCGAGCCTCCCCTTGGGCCCCACGCCACACGGCCGCCCGGGATCCCAGGCCGGGCCGCGGGGCTCTTCTTGTCGCAGTGCGCGAGCCGAGCGGTGTTTGGGTGCCCTCCAGCGTTACAGACAGCATGGCCCTCCGGCTCGGCGAGAGCTGCAGAGCGCGGCGGCAAAGCAGCGCCCCGGCGAGAGCCTCTCCTGTGGGCCCCACGCCACATGGCTCGGGGGCGGCAGAGAGGGGGTGATGACTAGGGGGGGGGTGGATAGCATGGCGGGGGCCATGATGTCTCCCCAGATCTCATGGCGCCTCTTCTCATTTCAGTACGTCCCCGGCCGCCCCCCGGGCTGCGCACGTGCCTCGGGCCATGATTTGCACACCCCACTCCTGGACGCCCCCCTCTTGGACGCCCCCGAATGGCCGCCCAAGATCCCAGACCGGGCCGCGGGGCTCCTCTTGTGGCAGGGCGCGAGCTGAGCGGTGTTTCGGCGATTTCGAGGGCCGTTCTCGTTTCGACCTCGTGTTGCTCCACATGGGCGGCGAGCAAAGGGGTGGATGTGAGAAGGGGCGGGCCCTCTCAGAAGGCTCGGAAGCCCCCAGGCCTTCTGAGAAGTTTGCTGAGCCTTCCCCCAAGACACAGACAACGTCTCGGAAGGCCAGAGGGCGTCTGAAAAGCCCCGCTGCCCTCTGAGAAGGCCTTCTTCTTCTCAGTTCCCCCCCCCGCTCGCCGCCGATAAGATTCGGGCCGAAGACAGGGCGGCAGGAAACGACAACTGCACGAGTATTAAGTCGGGGATGCCCCTCCACAGGAGGAATATCCAAAAATAGTAAAACAATGTCGGGGGACGATGTTTTGTTTATTATGTTTGTTTTGTTTGAATGTTTGTTCGGGTCTCTTTCCGTCCAAAGTCCGCCTGTTAGGGGGACATGCCCGACCTGACACGAGTACCGCAAACACTGCTCAGCTCACGCCCTGCTCTCCCGTCGCGCCGGAGAGCGGCTGGCCTCTCCCAGGGCCAGGGGGGCGGGCCAGCGCACAGGATCTGAGAGGGTCGCCGCGTCTGCCTCGCCGCGTCACTCCTCGGCTTGTGATGAAATCGGGCGTGTCCCTCTTCAGGAGGAATATTCAAAGACAGTCAATCAACAGCCTGGGGACGATGTCTTGACAGTTTTTTAAATATGCTTGAACATGTGTTGACTAATTTTTGATTTGTCGTCCAAAATCCGCCTGTAGTGGGACATGCCCGACCTAAGCTTATGATGCTCCAACCTACTTTAGCCTCGATCACAAGACAGAGTTTCGAGCACCAAGACAGTAGCGAGACTGGAGGGTTTTCGCGTGTCCGGCACTGCGAGGCGATACTCGTTCGACACTGCTTCGATACTCCTCCTGGGTGCTCGAGATTATTTCTGGGATGTGGTCTTTGAGCACGATGGGAGCAGCACGATCCTCGGCGTCTGGATGGCGTCCGATGCCTCGGAGGGTCCCTGGCTGTCCACGTATATAGCCTCGGACTGCTAGGGTTGATATGGCCAGGATCACCGGGCCATGGGGGTGGGCGGAGACGGCCCTCCTCATACTTGGCATCCAGTCTGCGACGGTTCGGTTCAGACGAGCGCGCCCATGAAGTGGCACGAAGGCACGTCTTCGGACTGCACGGGGTGGGCTGAGAGCTGGGCGTCGTTTGCCTTCACAGGCTTGTTCTGTGGCTGCGGGCACCCGCACGCTGCACCGCGCGCGAGCGGGAACGCTGCGACCTTGTCGGCCCCAGAACAGCAGCAGAGAGCACACTGTCCGAAGCGCATCGCCAGTCAGGGAAACTTCCTAAGTGCTGGTATGCCAGGAATGGGCCTGGCGCGACCTAGATGTTTTGACCATTGTTTTTTTTTTGTTGGTATTTAGGGGTGTTTTCGTTCGTCCAAAATCTACCTGTAGGGGGACATGTCCGACCTAAACCTAGATTGGAAGCAGTCTTACGTTTAGGGCACACATGAACGCAAGGCATTGAGACGCAATGCAACGCAGTGGAATACAACACGTTGTGACACAACGCGGAGCAACTCATACTGCACGCGATGTCATGACCTGGCAGATTTGTCGATCATTGCGCGGCCGCCAGACCCCAAGTTGTCCCGATGATCCCCGAGAATCCCGGGTGTCCCGAGCGGCGCCAGGCAAACCCCACCCTGCATATCGCGGCCGCCAGACCCCAAGTTGTCCCGATGATCCCTGATAATCCCAGGTGATCCGCCTCGCGCCCGGCCAACCCCACCTTGCATACCGCGGCCGCCAGACCCCAAGTTGTCCCGATGATTACCGAGAGTCCCAGGTGTCCCGCCTCGCGCCTTCGACGAACACGACAGAACACAACATGACAGAACATGACAGAACGGAGCAGAGCATGACAGGACATAACATACCAATAGCATGACAAAGTAGAGCATAACATAACATCACATAACATGCCACACCATACTACTACAACACATCATAGCATAACATAACCGAGCATCGCATAACACACCTTGGCATAACATATCATGCCATGGCACAGCATCGCAGACAACATCATAACACGGCAGCAGAGCATAGCGACGACGAACATGGCAGAACACACAATGACACAGCAGCACATGACAGAACACACCACCGGCATGCCAGACCCTGGCAGAACAGAACATGGCAATGTTATGGCAAAGTGCTGCATACAAAACATGACGATACATACCAGAGCAGAACATGACATACCAGAAGACGACATACCACAACATGAAACAACATAACCGAGCATAAGGTAACACACCTTGTCATACCAGATCATATCATGATACAGCATCACATAATCTATCATTACACGACCGCAGAGCATAGCGGCGACGATCACGACAGAGCACACCATGACACAACTCAGCATGACATGAAAGCACGAGCATGACATAACATGGCAGAACTAACACAGCAATGGCATGACAACGTAGAGTATATCATAATATCGCATTCCATGAGACAGCATAACATGACATACCCCACGACGACAACACAGCATGTCATAACATAACCGAGCATACCATACCACACCTTGGTATAACACTTCTTATCATGGCACAGCAACGCAGAGCATACCATAACACGACAGCAGAGCATAGCGACAGCGATCACGACAGAGCACAACATGACACAACATATAATGATATAACACATCAGGCTGCGGCGCTCTATCCGTTTCGCACCGCACGTTTTCGAAGCTAGGTTTTTCGCCCAGGGGGGTCAGTGTTTTTCGTCAGGAGCTCTGGGGTTGTTGACCCAGCCCGACCGCCGCACTGCTAGAGACCACAGGGCCCCGCGCGCAGTGTTCCACCGATTAGGCGACCGCGCGCCGTCAGGAACAAACGCTTAAGGCTTCGGTAGGGATCGCTCGAAGCAGACTAATTTGGTATTGCATGGCATTACGTAGCATGGTGCGTGACATCCTATACCATCGCGTATCAGTCGGCACAGTTACAAGTTGTACAATTCCTGTGCGTTGCAGAGAGTATCAAGTCATAGCATTGTGCGCCATCTGGAGTAACATAACTTACCATCGTATGGTCGCACCTGGAATAGCATTCAGCATTGCATACCATTGCATCGCACTGCAAAGTATGGTACGCCATGGCGTAGCATTGCAGAGTGCATATAGCGTGGCATGGCCTGTAGTAGGATTTGGGCTCGCACAGTATTGCAAAGAGCATCGTATAGCAGCGGATCTCACAGCGTGGCTTAGCAACTAATGGCATGGCATATGCGCCCTGGGCGACCTTGGGATACCCCACATGGCAACTGGGCCCTTTGCACATCATAAGGGTGGACCTCCCTGGGCAATGCCTAGTCGGGGGGCGAAAAGATCAGCCCACTTGGACAGTGTTTTGACTTCGGGATTTCTGTCTGATTAGTTCCTGTCCCCTTTGCTCTCTTCCGGGTGTCAGACCGGCCACGGGTGGAGGTTGTGCCCGAGCTCTCCGGGGGCTTCACTTCCAGCTCCTGGGAGCCCGTCGTTGCGGCGGTGTGCTCGAGGCACGTGGAGACTATGCAGGGCATGATCTTCGGACATGCGAGGCGGTCTCCGGATAAAACCGCCGTGGTCTTCATGGAGGAGGAGTGGACGTTCGCGCAGCTGACCTCGAGGGCGCGCAGCGTGGCCGACTGCCTGCTGGCGGACGGGCACAGCCCCGAGCTCGGTCCAGTGGCGCTGCAGCTGGGCCAGAGCGCCATCACCGTTGCCGTGTACCTGGGCCTGAACAGCGCCCGCTTCGTGCTGCACATCGTAGACTCCACCGCTGCCGGGCGGTCCTCCCTGCGGAGCAATCTTGCAAGTAGGCGTGTGCGAAGATAGCATCGCCGAGCGCGCTCCACTACGCGCAGAGTGCCTACTCGCAAACCTCCGAAAACACACATGCTTGCCTCGACGTGATGTATCGTGAATCCCCCGCAGCGGATCCAGGCCGTTTGCGAGTAGTTATTTTGCGGGTAGTGGAGCGCGCTTGTCGATAACAGGCTCCAGTCCAGAAAGTATGAGGCATGCTGCAGCCATCATTGCCCCTTGCAAAGCATCTGCGTGCGATCTGCTTGAACAGCCAGTCCACCCGAAGGGGCGCGACGACACCCGCGCCTCGCGCGTCCTGGCCTGGTTTTGGAGGGCTGTCCCGCCTGGCGCGGCGCGCAGGCGCAAAGATAGTCGCGCCAGAGCTCGACGACAGGTCCTCCTCCTCCTCCTCGTCCTCCTGCTCCTCCTCCTCCTCCTCCCCCTCCCGAACAAAACTTGATGGGAAGATTAAGTCCTGCCGACCCCGCCTCCAGCCCCCCACCAAAGTTGGCCCGATGAGTTGCTCTCGGCGTCCAGTCCCGCCAGCATCGGAAGGGGGACACGGGGGGCAAAGACCACATGGCTTCAAGGTGACACCGCAGTGGTCTGAAGAACATCACTTGACCCCATACCTACTTCTATCATGTTTGTTGTTCGGGAGGGTTGTGCACCCATCAGGAATCGTAAGACAAAACAGCAGTTCTCATGGGCTCCAGATGATCCAGGTAAAAATCAAGAATCCGGACTGGACCCTGGTTCTTTTCTGTTTGTTTGTTTTTGCCCGTGGATTCTCGTAAATCTGGACCTGGGCTACATCGAGGAAACGCTTGGAGTGAAATCCATCCTCTTAGCTTGCACATATCCTGCCTGTAAGCGGGTCTCTAGGCTTCCTGGTAGATCTGGCCGCCAGGTCCTGGAAACTCGGCGTGTGCAAGTCTCAGGCGCTCATCTGCGAGGCCGGCGCAGAGCGACCGTCTGAGCGGGAGGTCCCCAAGGTGATCTACGTGGAGGATGGGCGCATGGGGGGAAGAGAGGGATGGCACCAGGACCTTCAGTGTGTGCGTGTGTGTGTGTGTGTGTGTGTGTGTGTGTGTGTGTGTGTGTGTGTTGCCGGCCCTACCCCCCGGGCGCTTTCCCCTGCCGCCGCCGGCAGCTCTCATTGGCCCGGCTTCCTCTCCCATCGTCGCGCCGGGGCTCCTCCTCCTCCTCCTCCTCCTCCTCCTCCTCCTCCTCCTCCTTCGGTGCATTGCGGTGCATTGCGGCCTTAATTTGCATACAGCGTGTCCCCTGTTGCCATTCCGCCGGAGCACTCGACCTCTGCCCACACGCCGACGCAAAAAGTGCGTGTGCCGAAGAAGAACAAATTGCAGAATCGTACAGATTCGACTGTCCGCGCATGTTTTGGATCTCCGCTGCCCCGCCCCCTCCCTGGCGCGCGGCGCGCGCCATGAGTGGACACCGCGCAGATCCAGGAAATCCGCGTGGACACCGCGCCATGAGCGCGCGGGTCCGGCGCAGATCCAGGAAATCCGCGCGGACCGTCGAAAGTGTATGTGGATGTCGTTTGTTGTTTCTCCAGCGTGGGAGGCGGGGCATGGAGGGAGGGAGGGATCATGCCCCACCAGTTCGAAACACGTGGCGGACAGTTTTCCCCTTGCTTCGATGGCGCCAGAATCGTGACACTAATTTATAGGTGCGTTGCAACGGTGGTCGCCGAGAAGACGCGAGTTCGGCATCTGCATGTAACCTCTGCGGCTTAGACGCTGCACTTTTGAACTGCTACACGCGGCTGGCCACGCATGGCCCTAAGCTGCGCAGACAGAAACAGACAGGGGGAGGAGGAGACGAGGTGGAGAAAAGGGAGGGAACGGGACGGAGTGAGGAGGAACAGAGAGAGGCAGAGGAGGACAGGTGGACGAATGAGGCTCCTTGCGGGACTCTTCGGCGGCGCAGACCCGGCTTCCGGCTGGCGCGGAAGTCTGGTGGGCATGGTCGAGCGGGAGGGGGTCGCTTACGCCGTTGGGCCGCCTGCAGCGTGGGCGCGCGGGACAGCGAGAAAGGTGAAGTGTGGGGAAGAAAGAAAGAGGGAGGAGGGAGGAGGAGGAGGAGGAGGAGGAGGAGGAGGAGGAGGAGAGAGGAGGAGGAGGAGGAGGAGGAGGAGAGGAGCAGGAGCAGGAGCAGGAGCAGGAGCGGAGAGCAGGAGCAGGAGGAGGAGGAGGAGCAGGAGGAGGAGGAGGGGGAGGGGGAGGGGGAGGAGGAGGAGGAGGAGGAGGAGGAGGAGGAGGGGGAGGAGGAGAGGAGGAGGAGGAGGAGGGGAGGAGGGGGAGGAGGGGAGGAGGAGGGAGGAGGAGAGGGAGGGGGGGGGCCAAGAGGAGAAGGAGAGAACAGCGAGGGAAGAGAAGGAGGAGGAGCCTCCCCCCCGAATTCTCCTTCCACCAGAGAGGAAGACTCTGGATCTGAGACGGCGCAAGGTTGACACTGCAGGTTTCCATAGTCAAGTGGACAAAAGAGGGAGGAAGGAGGGAGGCAGGGAGTGAGGGAGGGAGGGGGGATGGAGATGGAGGGGGAGGAGGAAGAGGAGCTGGAGGAGATAGTTGTGCTGGAGGAGGTGGTGGTTGAGGAGGACGAGAAGGAGAAGGAAAAGGAAGATATGGTGGAGGTTGAGGAGGAGATGGAGGAGGTGGAGAACGAGGAGGTGGAGAACGAGGAGAGCTTTGGAGGAGAACGAGGGGAGGGCGAAGGGATGGAGGGGAAGGTAGACGAGGGGAGGGATGGGAGTAGTTATGCACTCGTTGATGCCGGGGGCCAGTGGCCAAGCGAGCACGGGGGGAGGAGCTGCGACGGCGCCTGGACGCTGGTCGCTCGCCGTGCGACCTCGAGGTGGCAGGCGAGGCGGGCCCGCGCCGTGCTGCCCCCGCCTCCCCGCCGCCGCGGTCGGCGTCGCCGCCGCTGCCGTCGGCGTCGTCGCCGCCGTCGTCGGCGGCGTCGGCGGCGTCGTGGGCATCGTCGGCATCGTCGTCAGCGTCGTCGCCGCCGTCGTCGGCGGCATCGTCGTCGGCGTGGGCGTCGGCGGCGTCGTGGGCACCATTGGCGTCGTCGCCGGCTTTGTCGGCGCCATCGGAGTTGGCGTCTGCGACGTTAGTCGGAGTCGTAGTCGTCGAAGTAGTTACCCCAGAGGTTCTGAGCGGATTCTGGCTGGAAGGGGGGGAGAAGAACCGGACGTCCGGCGACACGGCGACAGGTTTTCTCGATTGTTGGTCCTCTGGAGGCCCGCTTCAAGCCCTGAAAGCATGAGGCAGCTGCATGGGACCAGAGGGCAGCTCCTTGGATGGCGTCGAGAGGTCTGGGGTCCCACGTCACGGAAAGGCCACGGGCGGAGCGGGTGCCTTCTTGCGCCTCCTGGGCCGCCCTCGGCGCCACGGCGCGCTCCCGCGGAGCTCCAGCGGCCAGACCCGAGGGGCTGACGTAGTCCGGTCTCTGTGGCGCCCGAGCGTCGTGAGGACTGCAGGGCGGGCCCTCGCGCTCGGGCGTCGGGCCCCGGCAGCCCCGCGGACAGACCCGGCCCAAGGAGCCGGGCACGGATGTGTCGAGAGTTCTAGGCGTGCTTTTTTTCCACCGCGTCGGACGTCGGGGTCCTGCTCCTCCTCCTCCCTCCTGCGCCTCCTCCTCCTCCTCCTCCTCTCCCTCTCGGTCTTCCTCCTCCTCCTCTTCCTCCTCCTCCTCCTTCTCCCCCAGGAGGGGGGAGGAGTTGGGAGCAGCAGGGTTTGGGAGGGAATCTGGGCCTTCAATGGGAATCTCAGGAGTTTTATCTTTTTGCTTCTCGACCTCCCCAGCCTCCTCCACTATCGCTCTCCGCCTTCTCCTCCTCTCCCCCGTCCCCTCCTCCCCCCAGAGGAGCAGGAGGAGCGGGAGGGGAGGGGGGGAGGATGATCAAAACGAGGCGCAGGTGGAGGAGGAGAGAGCGCGTTCAGCTTTCTGCCGGGGAGGTGAGCTGGATGACGTCGCATTCATCGAGTACACCTCCGGCTCCACTGGGCGGCCGAAGGGCGTGGCCACTCGGCAGCAGGCCATCGCCCACTGGACGAGGCGCTCGGGGTGAGTTGCACAGCCTAATCGCACGTCTTCCCTTCCTCGTCCTCTTCCTCTTCCTCCTCCTCCTCCTCCTCCTCCTCCTCCTCAATCTGCAGAGCGAAGTTACCCCAATTGTGCTATGAGGGAGCTGGGCCTACAGGTGGGTCTGGCGGCTCCGTGGTCGCCGTCGCCGCCCCGTCGCTGCCTTGTCGCCGCCCGTGGTCTGGGACCGGGGGTCGGTCTGGCGGCTCCGTGGTCGCCGTCGCCGCCCCATCGCCGCCTCGTCGCCGCAACAAGGACTGCACCAAACACATTCCCTTCATTGAAACAAATTAGGATCTACCACCCCTTCCCCGGCTTTGCCCGTCCCACATGAGATAATACAATCTAAATACCATTGTGCCCCATCGCTTATCGTCAGTATGAATTCGCACCATCCCATGAAGGCCGTGATCCCTTTTTAATATTGTCAAATGGTATTACGCGCGCGCTCGTTCATCAAAAACCAGCAGTTGTCGAGAATCCCTGGCCAAACAATAAGCGAAGTCGACATTCAATATCGAGGTTCCCGAAAATATGAAAACATGTGCGTGTGTGTGTGCTACAACACGGCTGTTTAAAGAAAGCTGCGCGCGCGGTTACGACTTTTTCGTTTGTTTCAACAGTTTCATCTTTTTCGATCATGCTGGCCTCCCGAGCGCGCATGTCGAAATCATTCGGGAGCGCTCTTGTTGGGGGGGCGCGACCCGTGTCAAGTGATACAAGGCGGGCTACTCGCGCGCGTCAGCCTTGCGAGCATGTCGAAATCCTTCAGTAACCTTCATCACCGTCACGTGAACACCATCATCGTCATTGGCCTGACCACGATCGGCACCGCCATTGGCCTTACTTTCGTCATCGCCATTATCGTCACCATCATCGTTGCTATCATCATCATGCCCGCCTTGTCGACGTCACCGTGGTACAGCGCCCGCCCGAGTAACGGACCCGCAATGAAATGCCCACGCGCCAGCGCGGCCTGCGACGCGCTGAGAGGTACCCAGCAGTCAGCGCCACCGCGGCCGCGTGGGTCGCGCCAGAAAAGCTGGCCAGTCTGCGCGCGAGCCTGCGTGCGCCAGCGCGGCCGCAACGATGCACCAGCCAACGCCAAGCAGTCATGACAATCGCCGCCGTGTGAGTTTTGCAGTCCAGGTTGCGGGTGGGTGGGTGGGATGCTTGCACGAACAGTGGATCTGACAACTGCAAGCTATTCAACGTTAGTTGCGCCACATAACTTGCGCCACGTAAATTGCACAACATAGACTGCACAACACGAGTTGCACCGCGTGTGTTGTTTTGCGGAGATCGCACACACATGGGTTGTACCACACAGAGTGCTCCACCCTCACTGCACCACTTGCACACAGCAGATTGCACAACCCTGATTCTCCTTTCTACATGAAAAATAGACTCTACCCCCTCCGGAGTTAACGGTCACCCGTGGGGTATTGTAATTTCATTTGTATTCTGCACACTCGTCCATCCAAACAATGGATCCATATTATCCCAGCCAGGCCGGTATCGCCCCCCCCGCCATCCCTGTCAAATCATACTATGCGCGCACCTTTCTTCATCTTCAGAAAGCAGATTGCCATAATCCCTTGCAAAAAATACCACAAAGTCATCACGCGCGCGTCCATGTCCAAATCGTACCAAACGCAGTGTGCTTGCACGCATTTCAGCATACAAAGAAGCAAAGGGTTTTGCAACAAACATGTTGCAACTTTCCTGTCCGCGCTCATGCTAAAATCAAACAAAGTCTGTAAGGTCCTTATGCGTTCTGCCAAATCCAGCGATTTCACGTCACCGCGCCGTGCGCCCGCGATGCTCCTGTCATGCGCCGAAAGCGCGAATCCCTTGCAACAGATACCACGCGGGCCACATGCGCGCACCGCCGCGCGGGCATGATCAGTCTGAGGGATTTGTTGAACTTCCGCGCGGGCGGATTTCTTTTCAGCCTTGTCAGCATCACCGCGATCACCTGCCTCATCGACAGATGGACATCAGCATCGTCAGATCGTCAGTATGTTTGCCATCATTGGCGCCGTTATCGTTCGTGCCGTCGCCCTCTTGAACATCGTCGTCGCTGGTGCCACCTTCGTCATTGTCGCAGACGTTGTCGACGTCATCTTGCCATCGCGCACGTCCGAGTATCGTCGATGTGCTCACCTGCATCGTCGACTCACGGCGACGAGTACCGGCAATGAGGATGCTATCATCGATGGCGTCATCGGTGGCGCCGCCGTCCCCCGCATCATGAGCTTTGCCAAACGAGGTGCGGGTGGGAGGATGGGATGTTTGCGCGAGCAGTGGAGATGCCGACTTCAAGTTCAGCAGAGTGAATTACACCACATATATTGCGCCATGTCGGGTGCGCCACAGAGGTTCTATCACATATATTGCACAACGTAGACTGTCCAACATATCGGACAGCGTCGATTGCACCATCCACTATATCCCATACCGTACCACGTAAATTGCCCCGCGGAGATCGCACTTCATAAGTTGCACCGCGTTCATTGTACAATCTATGTTGTGCCACGTAGCTTGTCCCATCTACACTGCACCACACATGTTACACTATTTGCGGCGCGCAATACAACTTGGTTTACCGATATTGCACAATCCTTTTCTCGTGTTTGAGAGGGGACATATTCCACCACCTCGCCGACGCCGAACTGAACCCCCACCCTCGCGTAATGCAATGTGCGTACGGTGTTCGATTCCTGGTGTATGTCCGTATGATTTCGTACAAGCCTTCCCCAGCCGGCTTCGACCCCGCAGCCATCAATTTCACACCATACCATGAGACCATTTTTTGTTTTTTTTTTTTTCTCTCTCTCTCTCTCTCTCTCTCTCTCTCTCTCTCTCTCTCTTTCTCTCAAAAAATGGTGATCGGCCACACGCACACACATATATTTATAGTTACATACGCATACAGTTATATTTTTACACGTGCATGTCTATGTTTAAACACATACTACAACAAATAATTAGGACGACGTGCGCACGCGAGCGTCGTCGCGCGCGCGCATGCGGAACCCAACGAGCGTCCCGAACACATACACTCACCAGGGGCTTTCGAACCTGATGTGTTCAGCCAGTTTGCCTGCGTGCTGTTGCGTTTTTTTTTTTTTTTTGGGGGGGGGGCGGACCACAGGTTTTCAGCAACATATTTATCACTTGTGACCACACGTGCCTGTCGCGCGCGCGTGGCGAAATCATTCTAACGCCTCTGCGCGTGTGTTTGGGGGACACGATCCTTGTCAACTAACACCATGCAGGATACTCGCGCGCGTTCGCCGCGCGCGCATGTTGACATCCGTTCAAGACCTTCATTGCCGACGCGTGGATACCATCATCGTCATTGGCGTGATCCGCGTCGGTGCCGTTTTTGGCCTCGTCGTCGTCGTCGTCGTCATCGTCGTCACCAGGGTTTTTTATCATCATCGTTTCTGCAAAGGTCGGCACCGCCATGGTACCGCGCCCGCTCGAGGCACCGACTCGCACTGACGTGCCCGAGCGTCACCGCGGCGTACCAGACGCTCAGGGAAGTGCCCCGCGGTCAACGCCACCGCGGTCGCGTCGGTCGCGCCAAGCAACCTGGCCGCTCTGCGCGCGAGCTTTCGCGCGCAAGCGCGGCCGCGCCGAGGCGCCTCCCAGCGCAAAGCCGCCATCGCAATCGTTGCCGCATGGATTTTGCAAGTAAGTTGTGTGTGGGTGGGATGTTTGCACGAGCGTGGGGTGTGGTCGCGCGCGGGGGGGTCAGTTAATTGTAGCACGCAGGGTGCACTAAGTAGCTCGCACACCACAGATTGCACAACACAGGTTGCGCAACATAAATGGTACCTCATCTATTGCACACCATCGATTGATCCACATAGACGGCACAATGCAGATCACACCACACGGGATGGAACACCTAGAATGCGCCTCATTTGCTGCACCACATGCACAACATATATTGCACCACATCGGTTCCTTCGCATTGGGTGTAAATTGCAATATCTTTCTTCTACGCTTCGCGTATCCCCACCAACCCAAATCGGAAACCTTGCACATGAGAGTTGAAGAGACGAAGAGACACGTATAGTGAAACAGAGCGGGTTGGCCTTGGAGGGTTTCGTCGGGCCATCGCCGGGGTTCGAGTGGGGGTGAAGGGGGGGAGCAGGAGGGGGAGAAAGAGGGGGAGGAGGGGGACAACGACGACGACGACGACGAGGAAAAGGAGGAAACAGGAACGGAACACGATGATGAGGGCAAGGACGAGGACGAGGACGACAAGGAGAAGGAGTAGGAGAATGAGGACAACAAGGACGAGGACTGAACCCTCAACACCGCCTCTTGGAGCTCTCTTCGCGCTCTTTTGGGGGAACTTGGGGTCCTCCCGGGGCTCCTTTGGAGGGTCTTTGGGCCCTCTTCGGAGCATCTTGGAAGCCCTGAAGGGCGTTTTGGTGCCACGTTGGAGGCCATCGATCAAAAGGGGGGTCGTCCTCAATTTTGGTCCCCCCCTGGGGCCATCAACTTTGCATCCTTGGGCCCTTTTGGGGCTCTGCTGGGCCGATCGTGAGCACTGTTGGGGCCGTTTGGGGGGCCTCGTAGGCCCTTTTGTTGCTCTCTTGGACCATCTGTGAGCCATCTTGGACCGCCCAGAAGCGCATCGGAAGCGAAACGGCAAGAAGTCAAACATCAGTGATTTCCCTGAGGTTTTTAAAGCATCTTGGCGTCTTGGGCGGCCCCGAAGGGGGCTCTCAGAGCACTTGGAACCGTCTTGCGGCCCTCGTCGGGCCTCTCGGAGTTATGTTGGAAGCCATCCTGGATCATCGTCGGCTATCTCGGGCCATCCTTGAGCACATTTTGGAGCATCGGAGGCACCCGTGGAGCCATCTTGGGCGCTCTGGCCGATCGCCCCCCCCCGAAGCGCCTCAAGGATGGAGGGGGGGGTAAACCTCCCAGAAGGGGAAGAGGCTGCTTCGGAAGGGCAAATCATGAGCTCGTTAGAGCATCTTCGTCCAAAGGACGGGTGGGATTACACCGCAAATGTTGCACCACACAGTTTGCACATCGTATGTTGCACAACATAGATGGCACAAGATAGGCTTTACCAGATTTACGTATTGCACCGCATGTATTGGTCCACATCGATTGCGCAATATCTAGTGTATCACATAGGTTGCACCACGTATTGTACCACACCTATTGCACCACATAACACGCATCACATATATTGCACTCCGTATGTTGCCCTACATAGAATACCCCACATAGTTTGCAACCGTCGAATTGTCCGCATCGGTTGCGCCACATTATAGAGTGCACCACATAGACTGCGCAGCATAGGTTGTCCAACATTGTTTGCACACCATAGCCTGCACAACATGTATTGCGCCACGTCGATTACACCGTATATTCTCCTTTCTAAAAACAGAATAGACTCTACCCCCCCCCGGCGTTATCGCCCCCTTTTCGGATATGTAGATCACTTATGATTATGACCACACGTCCATCCTAAATATGAAATCACACTGTCCCAGGCCAACCGGTATCGGCCCCCCTGATGTTCCCTTGTAGAAAACACTATGCGGTGACATTGTTTGTTCTAACATAGCACTTGTTCACGAATCCCTTGCAACAAATGAGACGAAGTGCACACGCCGCGTCGTCGCGCGCGCATGCCGAAATCCTTCAAAAACCATAGGTGCCGGAAGGATTTCGCAATCGAGTTTCCAAAAAACATACAATTAGCCTGACGAAGGACCCAACCATGTGCAGTTGCGAGTACCGCATTGTGGGTACCGGTTTCGGTGGAGCTCCTATGGGGCCACGGAACTTGTGAGGGGTGCGCCGAAAGTGGTGGCGCGGACGCATGTGGACACCGCCACTGGGGCCTTCGGTGTAGCTCCCTATGGGGCCACGAAGCGCTGCCCTGCGCGAGGGAGACGCATGCGAACTGCGCCATTGGGACCTTCGCTGGAGCTCCTTATGAGGCCACGAAACGCTGTCATGGGTGGAGGACGCGCATGCGAACACCCCCGCTGGCGCCTTCGGTGGAGCTCCCTATGGGGCCACGAAGCGCTGTCCTGGGTGGGAGAGACGCATGCGAACACCCCGATTGAGGCCTTCGGTGGAGCTCCCTATGGGGCCACGAAGCGCTGTCCTGGGCAGGGACGACGCATGCGCCCACCCCCACTGGGGCCTTCGGTGGAGTTCCCTATGGGGCCACGAAACGCTGCCGTGGGTGGGGGAACCGCATGCGCCCACCCACACTGGGGCCTTCGGTGGAGCTCCCTATGGGGCCACGAAACGCTGCCCTGGGTGGGGGAACCGCATGCGCCCACCCCCACTGGGACCTTCGGTGGAGCTCCCTATGGGGCCACGAAGCGCTGCCCTGGGTGTGGGAACCGCATGCGCCCCCCCCACTGGGCCTTCGGTGGAGCTCCCTATGGGGCCACGAAACGCTGCCCTGGGTGTGGGAACCGCATGCGCCCCCCCTCACTGGGACCTTCGGTGGAGCTCCCTATGGGGCCACGAAACGCTGCCCTGGGTGTGGGAACCGCATGCGCCCCCCCTCACTGGGGCCTTCGGTGGAACTCCCTATGGGGCCACGAAGCGCTGCCCTGGGTGTGGGAACCGCATGCGCCCCCCCCTCACTGGGGCCTTCGGTGGAGGTCCCCATGGGGCCACGAAACGCTGCCGTGGGTGGGGGAACCGCATGCGCCCCCCCCTCACTGGGACCTTCGGTGGAGCTCCCTATGGGGCAACGAAACGTGTGAGAGGTGTGCCGAGAGCAGAGGCAAGGAGGGGGAGGAGGGAGGAGGGGGAGGAGGGAAGGAAGGAAGGAAGGACGGAAGGAAGGAAGGAAGGAAGGAAGGAAGGAAGGAAGGAAGGAGGGACGCGGGGCACCGTCTCTTCAAAACGAGGACCCAACACCACAGGATGGTTGGGACAAGCACAGAGTTTCACAACACTGCGTTCCTAAAACAGCTTCCGCGCGAGCTCTTGCGAAATCATCAGGAAACCATAGGTTTTTCAAGATTGTCATACCATTGTTATCAAACGGGCTTCGCGCGCGCGCATGTCGAAATCTGTCGAACGCCCTTGCGCGTGTGCCGTCGCGAGAATCCTCTGCAAAAAGCTGGACGAAGTGCAGACGCGCGCGTCGTCGCGCGCATATGCCGAAATCCTTCAAAACCCATCGGTTTCGGAAGGATTTCAAAATCGTGTGTCTAAAAAAACCTACAAAACCTAAGGTTTCGCAACACGGATTTGCAACAAAAGCGTGCGCGCGCGCTCTTGCGTCGTCGTCGTCGTCGTCGCCGTCCTCCCTCCTCCCGCGTCGTCGTCGTCGTCGCCTACGTCGTCCTCTGTCTTTCCTCGTGTTCGTCGTCGTCCTCTCTGGCGTCGTGGTCGTTTCCGTCGTCGTTGTCGCCGTGGTCGTCCTTCCTCCTCTTCCCTAGTCGTCGTCGTCGTCGTCCGTCGTCGGCGTCTCGTCGTCGTCCCTCCTATTTCGTCGCCGTCGTCGTCGTCGTTGTCGTTGTCGTCGTCGTCGTCGTCTTCCCTCCTCGCTTGTCGTTCTCGTCGTCGGCGTCGCCGTCCTTCCTCCTTCTTCGTCGTTCGCGTCGTCGCCGTCCTCCCTCCTCCCTCGTCGTTGTCGTCGTTGTCGTCGTTGTCGCCGTCGTCGTCCTCCCTCCTCCCTCGTCGTGGTCGTCGTCGTGGTCGGCGTCGTCGTCGTCGTCGTCGGTGTCGTCGTCGTCGTCGTTGTCGTCGTCGAAGTCGTTGGAGACGTCGTCGGTGTCGTCGTAGTCGGTGTCGGCGACGCCGCCGTCGTCGTTGTCGCTGTCGTCGTCGGCGTCGGTGTCGTGGCCAAGTGCCATGTGGTACCCACAGTCACAGTCTTGTCTTAAGAGGTCTTGCGACCAAGTTGCGGGTGGGAGGGTGGGATGTTTGCACGAGCAGTGGAGAGGACAGCTTCAAGACGGTCAAAGTGAATATTGCACTACATCTAGTGCACCAGAAAGGTTGCACCACAGATCTTGCACCACGCAGATGGCACATCATAGATGGCACATCATACGTTACCAGAAACACACTGCCTGGGGCCCACGCTGGCTAACACATTTGTGCTGTGTTTCCCTTTCAGGCTGCACGAGTACCACTTCCCCCTTGTTCCCGGCAACGACAGGGTGGCCTACAACTTGTTCTTCATTTGGTATTGGCAGATACAGCTCGCGCAGGGTGGCACGATGATAGTGTATCCCTTTGAGATGAACAAAGACATCTCGGCGCTGTCGCGCTACTTCGCGGAGAAAGACGTCCACCGCTGTAATTGTCTGACTCCGGGCCTCATACAGGCCATGCTCGAGGTCGAAGAGAAGCCGCCAACTGGCTTGAAGGTCATGTTCAGCGGCGGCGAGGCGCTGCCCATGTCGACCTGCCGCGAGTGGCACCGCAGGTGGCCGCACGTGGAGCTCATCAATAACCTCGCCATGACAGAGACGGCGGCCGACGTGTGTTTCTGCCGTATCACCGAGGATGTCATTGCAATGGACCTTACGTTCGCACCCATAACGGACGGCATCATCGTGTGGAAGAACAAGTTCGAGGTTATCGACGAGGAGCTCGTCGTCAGCGGATGGAACGTCGCCAGCGGCTACGAGCCTCCCACCGTGTCCAAGTCTTTCTCGCCATTGCCCAGCGGTGAGGGATACAGCTACAGGACCTTCTCCTCCTTCTCCCCCTGTGACGCCGAGTGAGCATGGTACACAAAACAACGTGGTCGACTGCGAGGATGAGCGCGCGGAAGCTGCCCGCGAAAGGTTGCGCATGAGCGACCTGCGTTTCACGTGGTGTGCCGCGTTAGTGGTCTGAGTAAGCTATCGCGTAGGGTCAACACGTCTTGGTTTAAATCAACCAGCCCCTGGTCTTTGTATTTCGCATGAGCTATCCGATCACGACTGTTCGAGATCTCGCGGAGCTCGTTCTGACGACGTTCGGTCAGCTTCCGAGGTTCTTATCCCTAGATCCTCTAACATTGCTTAGGGCTGCCTTTCCGCCGTGCACGCCCAGGAGCGCTTGTTCAGTTACGCGCCGCCAGTTCTGGCCCACCACGCTTCGGCGCGACACGCTAACCACTTCCGTTTCCTAAGCGTCAACGCCCCGAGCCTTTCCCAGCGACCTTGACCGTGAAGCGGAGCGACAGGCTATCCGCTTGCAAGCATACCGTGCCGCCGGGGCCGCCGCCGCGACACGCCAAGCAGAAGTTCCGCACCGAAATGCGGCAACAGTTTCGGGGACATCGGCGCACCCTGCTACTCTTTTGCTTTTTCTCCTCCGCCTCCTCCCGCCAGAGGACGGGCGACCGCGCCAAGTGGATGCAGGGGAAGCTCGTCCTAATGGGGCGAAAAGATTTCGTGGTGAAGATCCGCGGCCACCGGGTGGACCTCGCGGGCATCGAGGCGACGATGGATGGCTGCCCCGCAGTCAGCAACATCGCCGTCGTCAGCTTCCAGGACTCCGTGTGGGCGGTGGTCGTGACGAGCGACCTGCCCGCGGCCCAGCGCTTCGCCGAGGAGAAGCTCGCGCAGGCGCACCTCATCACCTGGCTGCAGCGCGAGGAGCTGCCCATGACGGCCTCCGGCAAGCGGGACCGCCCGAAGGTCAAGGTGCTGCTGGAGCACCTGCACGTCACCCAGGGCCTCGAGGCGGGCGGTCTGCCTGGTGGCCCGCCGGCCGGCGAGGCGGAGCTCCGCGTGGCGGCGGCCTGGCAGGCGGTGCTGGGCCGGACGGTGGGCCGTGAGGAGCCGTTCCTGCAGGCCGGCGGCCACTCGCTGGCGGCGATGAAGCTGGCCAAGCAGCTCGGCATGGCGCCGGCGGAGATCTTCGCGTACCCGACGGTCGCGGCGCAGGCGGCGCACCTCTCGCGGGCCGCGGTGCCTCCAGCGGTGGCGCCGGCACCGGCACCGACCGCGAGCCACGGGCCCGCGGCCGTGATCGGCATGGCTGGCCGATTTCCGGGCGCCGACTCCGCGGAGGTGCTGTGGGAAGCGCTGCAGGGTGGCAAGGATCTATTGTCCGTGATCTCCGCCGAGCCGGACCGTGTCCCGAGGAAGGGCGTCGTGCCGGACTTGGGCCTGGACTGCGCCTTCTGGGGTATTGCGAAGGAGGTAGCTGCGGGCACGGATCCAGCGCAGCGAGTGCTGCTCGAGTGCGCCTACGAGGCCCTGGAGGACGCAGGCTTCGACCCCTTCCACGTGCCTGGCCGCGTGGGCGTGGTCGTGTGTGGCGGCTCGCTCTCCCACTACGCCGAGGACGTGATGGGCATCGACCTGGTGGAGTGCCGTGCGGAGCGGCCAGACGACTACTTCGGCCTGGAGATCGGCCTGGACAAGGACTACCTCGCGACGCAGATATCATTCCGGCTGAACCTGCACGGGCCGAGCGAGACTGTCGGAACTGCCTGCAGCTCGGCCCTGGTGGCGGTCGTTCGGGGCCTGCAGATGCTGAAGCTTGGTCTCTGTGATTACGTCGTCTGCGGAGGGGCGTCCTTCTCGCCGGACGACCCGATGAAGAAAGTGGACGGGATGGTGTGGTCGCCAGATGGGGTATGCCGTCCATTCGCCGAAGGCGCGAACGGCACCGTGCATTCTGACGGCGGTGGGCTCGTGGTGCTTACCCGTCTGGAGGGCGCGATGCAGCGCGGGGAGCGCGTGTACGCAACCGTCCTCGGCGGTGCCACCAACAACGACGGGGCGCGCAAGGCGGGCTACTCAGCGCCGTCGCACGAGGGGCAGGTCGAGGTGATCCGTGCTGCCCATGCGGATGCTGGAATCACTGGCTCCGACATCAACTACGTGGAGGCGCACGGCACCGGCACGAAGATGGGCGACCCCCTCGAGGTGCTGGCCCTGGCCGAGGCGCTCACGGCGAGCAGCGGGGGCCCGCTGGCCCCGCGCAGCGTGGCGCTCGGGTCTGTCAAGGGGAACGTCGGCCATATGAACACTGCCGCAGGTGTGCCTGGACTCATCAAGGCTACGCTGATGCTGCACCACCAGAAGATGGCGCCTTCCCTGCACGCAAGCCGTCCGAGCAGCCTGATCCCCTGGGAACGCACGCCGTTCCACCTGGCAGAGGCCGCCACGGACTGGAGCGGCAAGGTCGCCACGGTGAGCTCGTTCGGCATCGGGGGCACGAACGCACACGTGGTGCTCGGCGCCGCCCCCGCGCCGGCCTCGCCGCCGACCGCGGTCGCCCCAGCGGCAGCGCGGCGGAGGTTCAACCGCGACGTGCTCGTGCCGCAGGGTGCTGCCAAGGCGCGGAGGCGCTTGAGGGCTGCGGCGGCCGGGGCGGGTGCCAGGGCTGGCGCTTCAGTGGCGAGGGAGCCGACTGCAGAGGTCCGCGGCAAAGCCGAGCCGCTCGAGGGCTTCTTCCACGAGGTGTGCTACGAGAAGGTCGAGGTGAGCCGCCTGCAGCCCAGCTCCGCGGCCGTGGTGGTCGAGGGCGGCGGCCCGCTGCCCGAGGGCCTGGGCCTGCCGTCGGACTGTGTGGAGACGGCCCCTCAGCGCGCCCTCTCGGCGGCGCGTGCCTGTGGCGGAGTCCTCATCTTCCTGGGAGCCTCCGACGCTCGGCCTGGCCGCGACGACCAGTCCCAGGAGAGCATGCTGATGGATGCCGTTCAGCTGCTCAACTCCCTCGCGCGGGCGCCACGGAAGGATCTCGAGGTGTTCTTCGTTCTGCGCGCGAACCTGCGATATGCGGCCCTGTGGGGCCTCCTTCGGGTTGCCTGCCGGGAGCACCCCGAGCTCCGCCTGCGCCGTGTCCAGTTCGAGGACGGAGCGCCCCTGGTGCTGCCGGCGCTGCCGCAGGAGCTGCTGCTGCGGCAGGATGGCGGCGCCTACGCGCCCCGCCTGCGCCCCACGCCTCCGCCGCCCGTGGCGGCCGAGGCGCCGGCGCCGTGCGCGCAGGCCCTGGTGACTGGCGGCTGCCGAGGGATCGGCGTCAAGGTTGCCGAGTGGCTTGCCCGGACAGGCCGTGCGAAGTCCCTCGTCCTGGTGTCGCGCCGGCCCCCGCAGGGCGAGGAGGCGGAGGCCGTGCGCCGGCTCGGCCAGGAGTTGCCGGTGGACGTCCGTGCCTGCGACGTCGCTGAGTGGGCGGACGTCAGCAGGCTGCCCGACTGCGACCTGGTCGTGCACTGCGCGGGCAACGTGAAGGACAGCCTCCTCCTGCACACCAGCGCGGAGGACCTGTGCCAGGTGACGCGGCCCAAGATCCGTGGCGGCATCCACCTCAAGGAGAGGTTCCCTGGCGCGCGCATCCTGGGCTTCTCCTCCTCGTCGGGCATCTTCGGGCCCGCCGGGCAGGCCACGTACGCGGCCGCAAACACCTTCCTGGACGGCCTGATGCCTTGTATCCAGTGGGGCGGATGGACCGAGGCTGGCATGGCAACGGACCTGGGCATGACTCCGCTTCCCGGGGAGAGGTTCTTTCCACTCGAGGTGGGCCTCCAGTGCCTCGGCCGCGCCCTTGACGCGCTCGGGGGCGCAGGTCCTGAGGTCTGCCGGCCTCTCTGCGCTCTGGACTCGGATTGGCCAGTCTACAGGCAGAGCGCGGCCGTCTTTGCACCCGATGATGCGCTTCTGGCCGACATCTGCCCAGCCGCGGCGCCGTCCCTGCTCGGCGAGGTGCGCGCGGCCCACGGCGACGAGCACGTGCAGAGCTGGGAGCTCGTGCTCGGCCACGCTGGGGCGCGCTGGCGCGGGTCGCTCCAAGCCTGGGAGGTGTGCCAGCAGCACGTGGTGGACGGCGCCCCCATCCTCCCGGCCACGGCCTACGTGGCCATGGCGCTCGAGGCGGCGCGCGGGGCTCTTCGCTCGCAGCACGTGCTGCTGACCGACGTCGCGTTCCTGCGGACCATGCAGCTGACCACGGCGAGAAGGCTCGTCACCACGCTCGTGCGCGCGAGCACGGGGTCCAGTGGCACCTTGCGCTTCTCGAGCTGGCCGGTGGAGGACGACGCAGTGCCCCCCACGCTGCACTGCACCTGCAGCTTCTCGCTGGCGCCCGCGGCGTTTCGGGGCAGCAGTCTGGCCGTGGAGAGGCGGCTGGAGCCTGTCGAGGGAGTCTACCAGCAGTTCGCGGACGCCGGCTTCCACTACGGCCCGAGCTTTTGCGCAACAGGCTTCCGCGCCGATGGCACCGACGCCATGTGCGAGCTCCCGCCGCTGCCATGCGCGCCTTTCCCGGTGCATCCGGCAGCGCTGGACTCCGCTCTCCACCTCGCCGCGCTCGTCCATCCGCTGGGCTACCGCGGGGTGCCACAGGCCATCGGCCGCGTGGAGGCCCACCTGGGCGCCTCCGCCACGGCCTGCACCGCCGTCGCCCGTGGCCGCGGCGCCGACATGGAGGTCGAGGTGCTCGACGAGGAGGATGATTCGGATGCAACTCCTGGGAGGTCAAATTCTGATTTTCGCCCTGGTGCGAAGTCCGGCTCCATCCTGTGTAAGCCAGCTTCATCCCGCTTCCTCCTGCTCGATCCCGCTTCGTCCGCGGCCTCATCCGGCGCAGCAGCCCCCCGGCGCGGCGCAGTCCCCCCGAATCCTTGCGACGAGACCCTCCCAGCAGCTGCCTCCCGAGGATGACGTCCTGTGCGCGGTCTCTGGGCTGGTGCTCGCCTCCCTGGACGCCTCCCCGACCCTCTCCACGCGCCGCGAGGCTTAAGTCGGGCCTGTCCCTCTACAGGGGGAATATTCAATTAGCCTGGCGAAGGACCCAACCATATGCAGTTGAGAGTACCGCAATTGTGAATATCTTCTTCGGTGGCGCTCCCTATGGGGCCACGAGCCATATGAGGGGTGTGCCGAAATGCGTGGCAGTGTACACAACACGAACGAAGACGATAGGTCCGAATATGAAAGCTTGAGCGCGTGCGAGTCGGATCGCGAGCGAGTCTGATTATGAATGAATCTGCGCGCGATTGATTCTATTCGCATGAATGCGTGCATGGATACGCCCAGTGTAAATGTATGTATACGACTGTGAACAGTTTGGGTCTGCGTGACTCTCGGTACTCGTGACTCTGAGCGTCGCCTCTGCAGGGGGCTTCCCTGGGAACCCCGACGGCAGCGCCCGCGCGCCGCGACGCCCATGTCGGCACGCCACACACGAGGATCGCGCTCGCTTCCTCCCCTCATTTTTTCCATCTCCTTTGCCCGCGCACTCCAAAGACCAAGGCTGCGGGCGCAGCGCAAGGCGGAGCCCCCGCGACGCGCGCAGGTCGCCCCGAAGGGGTCGCAGTGACGCGCGCGGTTCGTCCGCTGAGCGGATCAGAGAGTGATTGCTGGCTGACTCGTAGCGCGCATGGCTCTGGCCGCCAGGCAGAGCGACGAGGGGTGGGCGAGGCGCTGGGCAGAGCGCAGTGCGGAGTTTGCGCGACGCGCGCTGATCGCCCCGAGAGGGTCAAAGCGACGCGCGCGAGTCGTCCGCGGCGCGAGGCCAAGCAGTCGGACAGCCAAGAGAAGGCGCGGCTGGGGCGGGCCGCTCCTCAGGTCAGGCCTCGCGGATAAACTCTGTGAAGCCGAGCTCCTTGGCGAGGGCCGTCGCCTCCCTCCTGCACCGCTTCGTGCGCGCCGCAAACTGCTCCAGCTGCTTACGCAAGCCCTCCGGCGGCCCGGCCAGGAAGAACTCGATGCGCGGCGCCCGCATGAGCAGGAGGTCCTCGTGGCGCGTGGCGCGCGAGAGCAGCACGTAGAGCTCCAGCCACCAGTCGTCGTCCTCCTTCTTGCCGTTCCCGACCTCGTGGCGGCCGCAGTCCAGGATCACGCCTGGGCGACGTCGGCCGAGGGGGCAGTGCGCCGGGCAGCCGACGGCCCAGGGCGAGAGTCCACAAGACCGAAGGATGGCTGCGGACTGCTCGCGCCTCGGAGGTCTGGCCGTCCCCGGAGCGCCGTTCCCCCGCCCCGTCGCCTTCTCGCATGGTGCGCCCCTGGCACGCCACCGTGGTGATGACCCTGCCGTGCGAGAACGGGAAGCCCGTCCGGGTGACCTTGGAGGTGCGGAAGGTGAACGGCTCCGACGTGCGAACCTCGATGAACACCAGCGGGCCCGTGAGGTCCCCCGTGAGGCTCTCGTCGTGGCGCTCGAGGTCATCCACGAAGGGCGCGCTCGCGTACTTCTCCATGCGCACCCAGAACCCCAGCGGCAAGTGCTTTAGATAGATCCTCTTCCCCCCGTCTCTCTCGGCCTTGTCGACGTCGCCCCGATCTCGAGGGTCCACGACGATGTGCACGATCTGCCCCTCGGCATCCTTGACGAGGCCGTTCTTGAGGTCCAGCGCCTCCAGGAGCCGGATCCGCATGCCCACGTGCACCAGGAGCAGTCCGTGCATGCCACCGGTGTTCTTCGGGATGGCACAGTTCATCATCTTGGCGGCGTCCTTCCTGCTCATCGTCGGGGCAGACCTGTCGGCGGCCTGCACGAGGAAGAGAGGCTTCTTCAGGACGTCCGCGTCCCGCTGGGCACGCATGTTCATCCAGCGCGCCACGGTGTCCCAATAGGACCCGATCATGTGGCCGTTCTGGAACCTGTCCTCCCTGAGTCTACGATCATCGGGTTTCAGCTGCATGGCGTTCCACGTGGCCCGGATGGCCGGCGGGACCTGCTTCCCCGGCTTGCGCAGGAACGCCATGAGGTCCCTGAGTTTCGGGTCCTTGAAGCGGTTGGACGCCTGGAGCTCGAAGCACAGCGGCGTGTTGCAGAAGAGCTTCATCACTGCCTGGTACTCTGGTGCGAGGTTGATGCCCGCCGCCGCCAGTTCCTCGAAGCTGGAGATGAGCGACACCTTGCCTCCCGTCGGCTTCAGCTGCAGGAAGTCCCCCAGGTGGATCACGATGGGCATCCGGCCGAAGGCGCCGCAGACCTGGTCGTACTCCCGCTCCTCCGCGCCCCACTCGGCCTTGCGTCCCAGGTAGGACCGGAACGCCAGCATGTTGTACAGGTTGGGCGAGATCATGCTCACCTCCTCCAGGATCAAGCACCTGACCGCCTCCCACGTGTCCTGCAGCGCTTTCAGCTTGCCCCCGCGGGTATGTCCTTGTTCCTGAAGGACTGCACTCCTATGACGCCCGCCCGGTGGCAACTGACGGCCTTGTGAGCGTCCGTGGAGATGTTCGCGGCCTGAGACCACTTCGCGCAGACTATCAGCGTGGACTTCGCCTTGCCCGTTTCCACAGGGAACAGCGCGTCCATGGCCGGCAGCACGATCTCCTGCACCATGGCGGTCTTCCCGCTGCCGCCCTGGCCCAGGAGCAGGAACTGGAACGTCTTCCGCTTCGCGTGCTTGGCCATGCTGCCGTCCTCGATCTTCTGCTCCTCGTCCCAGACCACGTTGCAGGCGTTCGCGAACGCCGTGACGAACAGGGCCTGGTCGGGCTTCAGAGGGCGGCGCTCCTGCTTCCCCGTGCTCGGGTTGACCACGCCGTCCTCGAACTTTTTGACGAGGCGCTTGACGAAGTCGCTGGGCCGCTGCAACTCCTCCGACGGCTTCCACCGCGCCTGCGCCGCCTCGGCCGGCATCGCGCCGGCGCCCGCTGCCCCGACGTCGTCCCGCGCGGGGGCGTCGGCCACGGGCACGTCCGCATCCTTCGTGCCCCCCTTGGCGAACCTCTTCCGCTGGGTCTCCACCAGGCTCTTCAGCTCGTCTGCGTCGAGGTCGCGCAGGGCCCTGAACGGAGCGAGGACGTTGTCCTTCAGGGCGCGGGCAGCGCGCCGCGACGCGTCGGCGTCAGTCGGCCCGGGCAGCGCGCCGTTCTCCATCATCGTGGCGGCCTTCTTGAGCTTCTTCACGAAGGCCTGCGTGCGCTCGGCGGTGTCGAAGCGCAAGATCTGCCCGAGCGTCTCGGGGTCGAAGTGATGCTCCAGGACCGCGTTGGCGCCCAGCTTCGCGAAGCCGTCCTGAGCGCGGATGGCCTGGGCCTCCACCTGCGCGGCGCCCGCCCCCGAGTCCTCGGCGCCCTCCCGGAACACGGGGGCCTCCGCGACATGCACGTCGTCCTTCTGCGGCCTCTTCGGCTTCGAAGCCTTCGCCTTGGAGATGCCGTCGAAGTTGGCCGCGGTCTTCGTGGTCTCCAGGGCCAGGTACTCCTGCGCCGTCAGCAAGCTGTCCAGCCAGCTGCCCAGCTCCGTGCACTGGGCGCACCGGCACGGAGGCTGCACGTCCTCGCCGCTGTCGCTGCGCTTCTCGCGCAGCGCGGACTCGACCTCCTCCGTGTTCCAGATGCTGGGGGTCGCCCAGGACCCTACGTCATTCCTGAGGCACTTCGCCCGGGCCGTCTTCGCCAGCTGCTCCTGGGCGGTGGCGAACGACTCCCAGCCGCGCTGGAACGGGCCCGAGACGCCCTCCCCCGCCGGCTGCGCCGGCCACTCCGGCTCGCCCTCCGGCGCCGCGCACAGGTGCTCGTACGCGCGGAGGTAGCGCAGCTCCTTCGTGTCGTTGGGGCCGTCGGCGTCCGGCAGGTGCACTGGCCGGAGCAGCACCGACTTCATGAGGTAGTGCGTCTCCACGTTCGACTCCGCGCTCACGAACTGGAAGCCGTCCGGCTTCGGGATGCGCGGCTCGACGGCCAGCCTCTGAGTCCAGTTCCGCGCCGCCGAGTAGGACGAGTCGAAGGCGATGTCGACGTGCAGGGTTCGACCTCCGCTGCCCTCGGGATCCAGCTCCCCGGCCGGAAGGGCATGCAGCGGCAGTTCCACGCGGTGCACCCAGATGCTGTAGACGTACAAGCTCATGTCTCGGACAATAGGGTGGTCTCCGCGGTGCATCCAATCGTCGTGCTGGCTCAGCACTGCGCCCCTGAACTTGCCCTGCGCGAGGCCCTCGACAGTCGGCCCTTGTGTCTCGGGCACCTCTTCGGCCTCGCCTTCCCACAACTTGTTCAGCGCCTTCGTCACGTCGCGCAGCGAGCCGCCGCTGGCGTTCGCGATCTGGAACGCCTGGTGCGCGTACTCGAACGTGTCGAACTCCTCGCCGTCGGGGCTGACGTACACCGTCTCGCCCTCGCGCTGCACCTCGCGCCACCCCGGCATCGCGACCTGCTGTCCAGTGCCGGGGACCGCGTACGTGATCGAGGCGGCGGGTGCGCTTTCCGCGGCGTCGGCCTGGCCGTGCCGCCTGCGCCAGGACTCCGCGGCGAGGTAGATGGATTTCCGCATGAACACCTTCCAGCAACGGTGCGTCATGAAGGAGAGGTGCCCAAAGAGCATGGGGAAGACCATCTCGCTGCCGCTTTTCCAGGAGGCCCTGCGGAAGCAGGTCTCGAAGCGGGCCAACACCTGCAGCGTGCGCTTGAAATCCTCCTTGTGCTTTCCTGCGGCGGTCGACTGGGCCTCGTCGCCGGCGTCGCCCGCGGCCTGCGCCTCCCTGTCGTCCCACTGGCTCTTCAGGCGGCGCACGCCGTCGAGGAGCTTGCAGAGCACGTCGTCCATGCTGGGGTTCACCTTCGTGGTGTACGAGTTGACGTAGTAGCTCGTGTTGTGGGCGTCCACGAAGGTGGCCAGCGCGTGCCGCTCCAGGTCGCGCTGGAGATCGGCGCGCGCAGCGTCGCCACCGTCCACGGCGGGGCTGTCGCGGTTCGCGAGCTCCCTGAAGATCTCGTGCCAGTCGGTGACTACGACAAGGTCCCATTTCTCCGCGGACGTGGTGTTCAGATGCTGGAACCATCCCCAGTCCTCCCGGGCGCCCACCGAGAAGTCGGCGTAGCGCTGAGGGTAGAGGCCATGGTTGTAGCTCTTGCGGTCCTTCTCGTCCGGCTCCGGTTCCAGCTCCGACGCATCCATCCACAGGCGCGGGGGCAGCACCCGTCTCATGTCCTGCACGTCCACGTTGCACCGCGCCGAGACGACCGCCGCGTACTTCGTGGAGGTCTCCACGGGGTGAAGCTGGAAGGTGACGATGCGCCCGGCCATGCCGTAGTCCGTCTCCCGGAAGATGCCGATGCAGCCGCGCAGCGCCTTCCCGCGCGTGCGGAACCGGCACTCTTGGGAGTCCGCATCCTCGGGCCACGTGCACAATGTCACCAGGTTGTAGAAGTTGTGGCGGCAGATCTGCGAGCCGCGCGCCTTGTCCGAATGGTACTTGTAGCAAGAGGGGCTGCAGACGTGGATGCCGCAGCCGATGACGAGCTCGCGCGCGTCGCGGCACATCTCGCGAATCCACTCCTCGCTCGGGAGAGACTCCGCCAGGGTGCCCCCGCCGCGGTACCTCGGGAAAATGCCGGAGGCGCTGCTGGAGAGCGGCTGCCGCCAGTACCCCTTGTTCTCCGCGGCGTTCTTCTCCACCCGCGCCGCCTCGTCGTCCGCTTCCGTGCCGTCCTTGTGGCGCAGCGGCAGATTGGGGCGATGCGCCTCGTGGTAGACCTCGTCGCCTTGGGTTTCGGATTTTTGGGGGTCGTAGAACCGCAGCTCCTGTTCACCCGTGTCGTCCCCGACCCCGAGCTGCTCTGCCGTCGCCGTCTCCCTGCGCCCGTCGGCTCTGAAGTACCGCTTCTCGTTGGGCCCGAACGGCAGCGGCGGCACCGCGACCCCGCACTTGTTCTCGCCCCCCTGCAGCTGCAAGGGCAGCAGCTCCACGGCGCTCTGCTGAGTGGCGACCACGGCCTGCGCCACCTGCCGCATCCACAGGTTCAAGCGCTCCTCGAAGCTCGCCTGGTCGCGCTGCAGCATGTCCAGGAGCACTTGCAGCTGGCCCTGCAGCAGCCAGATGAGGATATGCGGGTGAAGCGAGCCGCGGCCCTGAGCCTCGACAGGACCGAAGGCCGCCGCGAGGGGGCCGAACACCGTGGGCACGCCCATGAGGTCGGCCGCCACGCCGTCGGAGACCCAGTGCTCCGAAGCCTTTCGAACTTCTCCTCGCCGCCACCCGACGATCTCTGGGCGCAGGCCGAGGACGTGGACGAAGAACAGCCTCATCATCAGCTCGAACACCACGGCCTGGCCCACGGGGTCCGCGGCGACGCGCTGCGACATCTCGCTGAACGTGACTTGCCCCGCCTCGGTCAGGTCGTTGTCGAAGGTGTATTCCTCCCCCTGCACGATGAGGATCAGGGGCTGCTTGGTGTCTGCCAGATTCGGGGTAACGAACTGGACGGGCGGGCCGAAGCGCAGGGTATACGCCTCGCCCTCTCCGCGCAGCTCCCGCCTGTGTCCGTCGGACCCGACTTGGCCGGCAGTGGCCTGGCCCAGGGTGGCGAAGGCCTTGCGCACCTCGTTCGGGGTGTCCTTGTCCTTGAGGACGCCGTGCAGCGTGGCCTTCCCGCCCGTCTGCTGCGCCCTGAGCTGCACTTCCTCGATCATCTCCGGCGTGATGTCCGCGCAGGCGCGAGCGGCCCCGAACGCCCCGGGCGTCTTCATGAACGTGTAGGTGCTGTTGGTCGTCTCCGTGACTCTCCAGAAGGAACACAGCAGGTGCACGTCGTACCAGGAGCTGCGGAAACGACTGATGGGCCTGGCCACGTATCTCTCCTCGTCGGCGGGCACGTCATACTCCATCTCCTCCCGCGTGAGTAGATTCTTGATGAAGTGCGCCACGCTGAAGCAGAGCCGAGCCTCCTTCTGCTTCTGCGGGTCCTCATCTCCGTCCGGGGGGAGCTGGCCGAGGCCCCAGGCGCAGTCCCCGTAGCAGAAGTCCGTGGGCCTGGCAATCGACCAGTATTTCGGATTCCACCAGCTCTCCGCCTCCCTCGAAGTGGGCACCCGAAGCCTCGCCTTCCGCTGGCCGTCTGGGACGGGCGGTTCCTGCAAGGAGCGCGGATCGTCCTCGGCGGGAGTCCCCGCGACTCCTGCAGATCGCGCCAGGTCGCCCGCGCCCTCCCCCGCCTGGCAGTTGTTGGTCTCCAGCGCCTGGACGCGCCAGTGCAGCTTCGCCATGTCCTCCCCTGGGGAGATCTTCCGACAGCGCGCGTGGAACTCCTGGCAGAGGTCCCGCAGGCGGTGACGCCCGATCTCGTCCAGCTGCAGCGCCCTATCCTCGCCTCCCTGGTCCTCGAGTCTGGACATCAGCTCGTTGGCCACCACGCGCCCCGCCTGACTCTCCATCCTCTCGAGCATGCCCTGGAGCGCCGGCAGGGACGTGAGCTCGCTGACGTCGTCCATGTGGTCCTCAAGGACGGACAGCCACTTGGTCAGCTCCTGCGCGTCCTCGGCAGCCGCGCTCATCTCTGCCTGCGCGCCAGTGGTGGCCGAGGCGGGCCCCTGCGCCTGCGCGACGTCGTCCAACGCCGCGTCCGTGGGGACATACTTCGCGCAGGCCAACATGAAGTCGGGCACGCCCGGCCGCGGGGGGAATCGGTCCACGAGGTCCGATCGGTACTGGACGCCCGGGTCATTGTACACGTAGTTGTGCTGCTTCAACAACCGCGCCTGGGCGTCGTACTCCGCCTTGTCGACGTGCAGCGCCACCTCCTCCCTCATGGCTCTCAGGGCCCTCTCCTGCTTCTGCTCCTCGGTCAGGGGGATGCCCTCCTCGTCGTTGTCGGCGCCTGCGAAGACGGCCACGAACGTGTCCCTGAGCATGTCGGGCTCCGGCGGGAAGCTCCGCATCGCGTGGTCCACGTTCCCGTTCCCGATCACGATGGCGGTGCCCTGCATGGCGTACTGCAAGAACTTCTGCCTCCACGACTGCTGCTCCTGCCGGACGGCCTTGTCGGCGCCCTTGCTGGACAGGTAGATCTTCGTGGACACGACGCGGCCGAGCGCGAGCAGCATCTGGTGTGCGAGAGCGGCCTTCCTGAGCAGCGGGTGGTGGCGGCCCAACCAGAGGTCGTTCACCAACGCCATCAGCGGCACCTTGGGGTGATCAGACCACAGGTCTCTCCGGCAATCCTCGCAGACTTTCACTGGCACATTCCCTTCGAGCGCCTCCGGGGGCACGCGCCTCTTGTGCAAGAGTATCTTCGTGGACGTCGGCGAGCCCTCGCAGTCGTTGTGGGGGAAGTCCACGGCCGACGACATCAGCTCGTCGCGCGGTATGAGGGGCCATCGTTGGTGATACCACTCGGCCGACAGGCAGTCCGCGAACTGGGCCCGGTCCTTTATGGTGCACTTGTCGCCGACGAGGTACTCCGAGTGGAGGTTCTCGGACCACTGCTGCATGGCGCAGCAGACGCATGCCTGGAAAGCGCGGGGCTCCCTCGCCTGGCACGCCGCCTGAGCGCGGGCTGCCGACTCCGCCGCGTCGGCCGCCTGCCGGGAAACCTCTTCCGCGGGGGGGGCCTGCCCGATCTTGCCGGCGATCCTGCCGACGATCTCCGCGTGGACGAGCTGCTTCTGCATCTCCGAGTCGAGCTTCGGGACGAACGGCTCGTCGACGGGATCGACGGTGGCGCAGCACTGGGAGATGTGGAACCTGGCAACCACCTGCAGCGAGGGCGGGGAGCGCCGCCCGACCCCCAGCGCTCTCGATGCCCTTATCGCTGGCGCCGGGGGCGCCAGCGCTAAGGGCACGTCTCCGAGGGCTGGGCGCAGTTCCCCGCCGCCCGCTCGCCTGGCGCTCCTCGGTCGGCGACGGCTGGTAGGGCTCCAGCTCGCACCGCGCCACATACTGCGACTGGTACCACCGCTGCCCCCCGTGGACTCTGCCCTGGTGCGCCTTGAACGCCTCCCTGTTGGGGAACTCGGCCTCGCACATGCGGCAGGCATAATGCAGGGCGGGCGCGGGGCACTGGAACCACTCAGAGCGATCCCGAAGGCGCGCAGGCATGGCGGCGTGCCGGGGCGGGCCGCGGTTGCAGGGTCTGCGCTGCCACGCCTCCGCCAGGTGCGCCCTCAGCGGGTTGCCGTCGCCCAGCGCGGCCGACGCGTCGCTCGCCGCCAGGCGGACCGCGGCCGCCACGGAGTGGGCGCCGTGGGCGAAGCCCAGGCGCTCGTCCAGGAGCTCCGCGACGTGGTGCAAGTGCCACTCCCCGCTCTCCAGTCGGCGCTTGGCGTCGGAAATCTCCTTCTCCGTCACCCCGAGCGCCTCCCGCAGCCTGCCGGCCAACTTGTCAGGCCGATCGAAGGCGCGCAGGAACGTCGCCCATCGGTTGGCGCAGTCGTCGCCCGCGTAGACGAAGAAGTCAGGGTAGCGCTTCAGCAGGTCATCGGCAGCGGCCAGCGGCTCCAGCAAGTGCAAGAGCAAGAACAGGTCGCCGCACTCCCGGCGCGCGTCGCACGCCGCCTGCAAGCTCTTCGCCTCCCTGCTGCTGCGGAGGACCGGGGTGGCGGCGTTGTTCTGGGCGTCCTGCCTGGACCCGTCGGCGTTGTCGCCCTTGCTCTTCGGCTTCCGCCCCTGCCGCAGCACCTCCTCCGGCTTGCAACCGCGCTTCTGATCCTCCCGGTTCTGCTGCCTCCCCTCTCGGTTTCGGCTCTGCTGCCTCCCCTCCTGGTTTCGGCTCTGCTGCCTCCCAGCGCGGCTCTGCTGCCTCCCGGCGCGGCTCTGCTGCCTCCCGGCGCGGCTCTGCTGCCTCCCAGCCACGCTCTGCTTCCCTCGGAGGCGGAGCCGCTTCCTGGCAGGGGCGCCGCTCCTCGCTGACGCCGCGGGTCGCTTCCGCGCGCCCAGCGCGCCAGCGTCGCCGGCCCCGCCACCCTCCTCCTCCTGCTTCTCGGGCGCTTCGTCGAGGCCAGGGCTGTCCTCGCCGTCCGTGTCGACGTCGCCGTCGTCGCCCGCGCCCTCCGCGCCGTCGACGACCGGCCCGAGCGGCCACGGGCACGCCTCGGCGCGGGCCGCCCTGGAGCCCACCTTCTCAAGGAAGATGATGCAAGGTATCTTGTGCTGGGTGCCAGGCGCCCACTGGACCACGTGCGGCCGATCGCCCAGGTCGTCTGCAGTGTACCAGCTCCCGTCCTCCTCGAAGTGGGCCACGAAGTGGCCCTGGGGGTCATTCAGAACGTGGGATGGGACGGCTTCCGACCCCTCGGGCAGGATGTACTGCACGTAGGCGCGCAGGCGGTGCGCGACGTCTTCCTCCCCCGCCCTCAGAGCCACCTCCGGGAGCTCGCCCCAGTAGGGCGCGATGTCGCAGCCGCCGAGGAAGAGCGCCGCGCCGTCGCCCCGCTCCCACCTCTGGGGCACGTGGACCGCCAGCAACTCGGGCTTCGATCGCAGTCGCCCGCCCATGGAGGCGCCGCGGCGGAGCGGCTCTCGCACGTCCAGTCGCTGCGCGCCCCCGTCGAGGAGGAAGTCCTGCGGCGACAGGGCGTCGTCGCCTTCGTCTGCCTCGTCCACGAACGCCGGGGGCCTCATCATGGCCTCCTCGTCGCATCCTGTCTGGAAGAGGCTGGCGAGACCGGGCGCGTCTTCCAGGATGAAAGACAGCGCCTCACTCGCGTCCGCGTACTTCCCCAGCCTGAAGTCCACCCAGTGCTTCGCGAGGAACGCGTCCACGAAGGCGTGCGGGGACCAGCGGTCCAAGCGGACTGGCGCTGGCGCGGCGCCGCCGACGTCCTCCGCGGGCGGCGGCACCCCGCGCACGCAGGCGGCCGCCAGGGCGCGCAGCTCCTTGAGGGGGGGGCGTGAAACACATGCCGATTGCCCCCTACCCCCCGCCCTGGCGACGCGCCAATCGCCCCCCCTCCCCGGCGGAGGGAAGGAACCTAAAGTCAACCAGGGGCCGTGCCGGAGCGAAGACATCGACGAGATTCCCCCCACCCCGCGTCCTGCACGACCAGCGGCTCACCCTCGCGCTCCGCCCCCAGGAGCGCGGCGCGCGCGGCGGGGCAGTGGGGGAGGCACTGCAGGGGCGCGTTGAGGTAGCAGGTGTTGCACAGGTTCGAGAGGCCCGGGTACGGGTGCTGGCCGCCGCGCGACCGATGCAGGGCGGGATGCCTCCAACGGTCCTCGTCGTGGACGTCGTTCCCCTCGCGCCAGTGCTGGTGCAGCATCCGCAGTGCCTGCTCTGCGCCCTCGGCACGCTCATCCTCCAGCCTCGATCCCCGACCGGCCTGCACCAGCGCGTCGATGCGCTCCTTCAGGATCTGGGCCGCTGGCTGCAGCCTGCTGGTCCCCCTCCACCGCTGCCACCTCCTCGCCAAGTCATCCTCGGGCCCCCTTCCGGGACGCTGGCGCCGTGGCCAGCGGCCGCGCTCGCTGTGCCAGGCCAGAACGTCGCGGAACGTCGCGGCCGCGACGTCCCGTCGACCTCCCGCTGTCCGAGGAGTCGGGCCCCGGCGGCGAGCAGTCCCGGGAGTCTGCCGGGGGCGCCTGCCCGCGGCCGAGGCGCCCGGTGTCTGCGGACCTAGCTTCGGGCCCGATGCCGGGGTGCCTCTCGGCGCCGGGGAACCGCGCGGCGACGGCCCTCGTTTCCCTCTCACCCGGCGCCGAGGCGGGCAATCCTGCTGGCGCCGCGGCGTCTGGGGGCCATCGCCTGGGCACTGCGCGTGCTGTGCTCGCAGACGGCGCAGCTCAGCGCGCCGCTCCGTCTCCGGCATCCGCAGGAGGCGGACCTTGTCCGCCGTGGCCGCGGCGAAATTCTCGCGCGGCGGGCCTCTGATGGAGGGCTCGCCCGCAGTCCGCAATCTCACTGTAAAGGTCACTGTTCCGCCTCGCTCATTCTTGTCCACATTGATCCGACATCTCGTCCCGCTGCCGTTGGGAGGCATCCGGGGGGGATTGACCCGGCGCGGGGCAGGGGGCCGCCCGCGCGAGCTGGAGTGTCTCCGACTCGGGGCGATCGCCCCGCGAGAGGGGTCCCGTCCACGAGCGGAGGTCGTCTGTCAATGGGCGCGTCGGGCGCGTGTCGAGCGCGGCGGCGCCTGCTGCTCGGGCCATCAGGTCTACGGATATGGAATCGTAGTCGCCAGGATTCCGCGAGGCAAGCCCAGATGTCCAACGTCTGAAATAGACTACAACGGGCGACATTTGAGCGCGCTGGGCCCGTCGACGACGACCGGACGCATCGGGGGCTCTGAGCGGGGCGCGCAGGAGTCCCCGCGACGCGCGCTGGTCGCCCCGAAGGAGTCTCAGCGACGCGCGCGGATCGTCCGCGGCACTGAACAATTGGAAAGACGCGCGGCCGACACTGAGCGCCGGACACAGTGCACCGGAATGTCTGCGACGCGCGCCGGTCGCTCCAAAGGAGACTCTTGCATGCTCGGGTGTAGTTTGGGAGCCTTAGTTTTTTACGCGCAGCACGTCGGCGCGAGATTATCGACGACGTTCCATGGAAAAGAATAAATTCGCAAGTCGCACGCGCGATATTTTTTTCACGTCGCCATAGGAAACCAAAAAAAAACTTGAGACCCCCGTCGTTTTGGTATCAAAACGACGGGGGTCTCGCAGTCGCGTTCTCGCGGTGAGATCCGAGCGAATCAATAGGACGTTCGCATCAAATTGAAAGTGCGTTGTTTTCCGCACCGCCTGGTTTTGCGCTGGGCGGTCGCTAAGAATTTAAGCGCCCTTCAGGACACAGGCGCCCGGGAGTAGCAAAGACGCAGATGGTGACGACGAATCGCGTTGAACAAGATTGGAAATTCGCGATAGTGACGTCCTTCAGGGCACAGACGCCCGGACGCAGCAAACGCCGATGGCGACGACCATTCTCTTTGAACGCGAGCCCGTTTTTGAAAATTCGCGATAGTGACGCCCTTCCAAACACAGACGCCCGGGGCGTAGCAAACGCCGACGTCGACAACGATTCGCTTTGAACAACTTCCCGCCGGGCGTCCGCGCGCGCATTTCGCGGAGGACGGGTCGGAAACAGAAAAAAAGTCGACGCCAGATAAAACAAAAAAAACACATAATTTCCCCTTCCCAGATGGCCCATTGCAAGTACCGCTCCCGTGTCCCGTCGCGCGTCCGCGCGCGCATCTCGCGGAGGACGGGACGGAAACATGAAAAACATCGAAACCGGCAAACTCAGAAAAAGCGCGTAATTTCCCCCTCCCAGACGGCCCATTGCAAGTACCGCCCCCGTGTCCCGTCGCACGTCCACGCGCGCATTTCGCGGAGGACGGGTCGGAAACAGAAAAAAAATCGGAACCAGAAGAAACAAAAAAAACCCATAATTTCCCCTTCCCAGACGGCCCATTGGAAGTACCGCTCCCGTGTCCGGTCGCGCGTCCGCGCGCGCATTTCGTGGGCTTGGGAGGATTGGGGAGGATTTGGTTGGATCTGGGAACATTTTGAATGGATTTGAAAAGATTTGGGTGTGTTTGGGAAGATTTGGAAGGATTCGGGTGGATTGGGGGGGATTCGGGTGAATTTGGAAGGATTGGGGTGGGTTTGGGTGGGTTTGGGTGGGTTTGGGAGGATTTGGGCGGGTTTGGGAGGATCTGGGTGGATTTGGGAGGATTCGGTGGTGTTCGGGAAGATTTGAAAGGATTTGGGCGGATTTGGAAGAAGTGGGCGGGTTTGGGAGGATTTGGAAGGATTAGGTAGACTCCGGGCAGATGTGGGAGGATGTGGGTGGGTTTGGCAGGATTCTTGTGGATTTGGGAGAATTTGGGTGGGTTCGGCAGGATTGGGCGGGTTTGGGAGGATTTGGGCGGGTTTGGAAAGACTTTGGAAGAAGATTCCCCAAAAGCGGCGCGGCCCTAAAGGATTCCCCAGCCCTGGCGCGGCCCTAAGGGATTGGACCACATCCCGATCTAGGCCATTGTGACGAGGAAGAGGTCTGCTGGACCAGATCACGATCTAGTCTAAAGAGGAGGAGGAGTGAACGGAGGAGGAGGAGGAGAGAGGGGAGGAGGAAGAGGGAGAGCCTGCCTACCGCGGCCGCTTTCGAGCGCGCTCTTGGGGCGCGCTCGGCGTCGTCGCCGCCGACGGCGGCCCGGGCGTCGCCGCTGCCGGCGGCGGCAACCCCAGCGCCGCCGCCGCCGTCGCTGCCCCGACCGTCCTGCCCACGAAACGTGTGAGGGGTGTGCCGAACTGGGTGTGCGGGACGCATGCGGACGGCAGCCATGGGGCCTTCGGTGGAGCTCCCTATGGGGCCACGAAACGTGTGAGGGGTGTGCCGAAATGGGTGTGCGGGACGCATGCGGACGGCAGCACTGGGGCCTTCGGTGGAGCTCCCTGTGGGGCCACGAAACGTGTGAGGGGTGTGCCGAAATGGGTGTGCGGGACGCATGCGGACGGCAGCACTGGGGCCTTCGGTGGAGCTCCCTGTGGGGCCACGAAACGTGTGAGGGGTGTGCCGAAATGGGTGTGCGGGACGCATGCGGACGGCAGCCATGGGGCCTTCGGTGGAGCTCCCTATGGGGCCACGAAACGTGTGAGGGGTGTGCCGAAATGGGTGTGCGGGACGCATGCGGACGGCAGCCATGGGGCCTTCGGTGGAGCTCCCTCCCGCTAATGTGAGGGGTGTGCCGAAATGGGTGTGCGGGACGCATGCGGACGGCAGCACTGGGGCCTTCGGTGGAGCTCCCTGTGGGGCCACGAAACGTGTGAGGGGTGTGCCGAAATGGGTGTGCGGGACGCATGCGGACGGCAGCCATGGGGCCTTCGGTGGAGCTCCCTATGGGGCCACGAAACGTGTGAGGGGTGTGCCGAAATGGGTGTGCGGGACGCATGCGGACGGCAGCACTGGGGCCTTCGGTGGAGCTCCCTGTGGGGCCACGAAACGTGTGAGGGGTGTGCCGAAATGGGTGTGCGGGACGCATGCGGACGGCAGCCATGGGGCCTTCGGTGGAGCTCCCTGTGGGGCCACGAAACGTGTGAGGGGTGTGCCGAAATGGGTGTGCGGGACGCATGCGGACGGCAGCACTGGGGCCTTCGGTGGAGCTCCCTGTGGGGCCACGAAACGTGTGAGGGGTGTGCCGAAATGGGTGTGCGGGACGCATGCGGACGGCAGCACTGGGGCCTTCGGTGGAGCTCCCTATGGGGCCACGAAACGTGTGAGGGGTGTGCCGAAATGGGTGTGCGGGACGCATGCGGACGGCAGCCATGGGGCCTTCGGTGGAGCTCCCTATGGGGCCACGAAACGTGTGAGGGGTGTGCCGAAATGGGTGTGCGGGACGCATGCGGACGGCAGCACTGGGGCCTTCGGTGGAGCTCCCTGTGGGGCCACGAAACGTGTGAGGGGTGTGCCGAAATGGGTGTGCGGGACGCATGCGGACGGCAGCCATGGGGCCTTCGGTGGAGCTCCCTATGGGGCCACGAAACGTGTGAGGGGTGTGCCGAAATGGGTGTGCGGGACGCATGCGGACGGCAGCACTGGGGCCTTCGGTGGAGCTCCCTGTGGGGCCACGAAACGTGTGAGGGGTGTGCCGAAATGGGTGTGCGGGACGCATGCGGACGGCAGCATGGGGCCTTCGGTGGAGCTCCCTGTGGGGCCACGAAACGTGTGAGGGGTGTGCCGAAGTGGGTGATGACGATGACGATGACGACGATGACAATGACGATGATGATGATGATGATGATGATGATGATGATGATGATGATGATGATGATGATGATGATGACGATGATGATGATGATGATGATGATGATGATGATGATGATGATGATGATGATGATGATGATGATGATGATGATGATGATGATGATGAGGATGATAGGAGGGGAGAGGAGGCGGAGGAGGAGGAGGAGGAGGAGTGAGGGAGACGCGGGGCACCGTCTCTTCAAAACGAGGACCCAACACCACAGGATGGTTGGGAAAAATAGTAAAAAAACAGTCTGGGGACGATTGTTTGTTACCATCTTTGGCGTATTTTAGGGCATTGTTTGACCATGTCTTATTCTTCGTCCACAACCACCCCGGGGCAGGGGGACAGGCCCGACCCAACGCGAGGCCTGGAGGCCCCTGGCCCCGGCGCCGCGCGGCGCCTGGCTCGCGGGCGACGCGGAGGCGCGCGCCCTGGCGCTGCCCGACACCACGGCGGACGCCGGGGCGCCCCGCGAGGCCGTGGTGCTCGCGTGCCGCGCGGAGTCGCTGGAGGACTCGGGCAGGGTCAGGACGGGGAGCACGCACACAGACACAGTGAATCGTCGATTCCCCAGAAAATACTGGAAATATGGGAAGTTGGGGGGGGGGGGGGGGGCAAAAACCAGAAGATATGGGAACATATGGGGAATCCTGTTATTTGTGTGTATTTATTTGTGTGTCCCAGGGCCCCTTCATAGGGGATCGATCACAGAACTGATCTACACATTGTTCATGTCTGATTCTTCGAGAGTTCTTTGATTTTTTTGGGGGGAAGATCCTTTCATCTCTGCTTGTGCTATCCTGGGCCTCCTCCTGGCCATTTAGGGGGCCGGGAACAATTCGAAACAAGCACAATTAGAACTGGGCGCGATTAAAAGTGAACGACGTGTACCCCAGAATTTCACTTGTTCGTCGAATCCGCAACAAAAAGTAGGCGCAGGGTCTTCACAGGCCTGCGAGGACGATGAGTACTTCAAGTCCCCCTGGCATTCGCAGATCTGATGAAAAAGCACTTTTGTAGCAGCTTCGACGGACGATGCAAGTTTGGGGTAGATCAGTTCTGCGGTCGATCCCCCACTCGGAGGACGTCTCGGCCTGCCGCGAGCGGGCCCGCCGGCACGCGGCTCGCGAGCGCTGCTGGGTGGTCGTGCTCGACTCGCCCCTCGCCGAGGCAGCGGCGGCCGCGGCGGCGGAGGTGGGCGCGCAGGCGGTGCTCGGCGCGCCCGAGCAGGTCCGAGCGCTCTCGGGCGGCTTGGGCGTCTCCGCGCCGGTCGTGCGGGCAGAGGGCGGCCAGCTGTGGGCGCAGGCGTCGGTCATGGCCCTATCCTGAAGTCGGGCCTGTTCCTCTGCAGGAGGAGTGTTCCAGAAAAGTAGGAGATCGTCTGGTGGCGATGTTTCGTGCTCTTTTGATTTTGTTTTGGGGACTGCTCGACTCTTTTTTTCTGCGTGTTCTTCCACAGTCCGCCTGTAGGAGGGCATGTCCGACTTAACCCTATCCGCAGAAGTGATCTGCACACAGCCACGACGCCTGGCCAGGGCCATCCTTGGTCCTGGGATGGCATGTAGATCCTTCTGGCCTCGGTCCAGAGGGCATCTGCGTCATACCACAGAGCCCATGATGACGCTGCCCTGGCATGGTGGTGTATAGATAAATGCCTTACGAATGTAATGGCAGACCACCCCTTGGGGACCCCCCCTCTCCTTCTGCTCATCGTCCAGAACCCCCGTCGGACCGTCGGGCCATATCTTCGGGGGAGGCACGCGGGTCGGTGTCAAAGGGGGTCGTCATCGAACGGGGATGGTTCAACCCCGCCTGGAGGCCCTGGAGGTGGCGGACAAGCCGCCTCCCCGCATCGTGCCGAAGGACGAGTCCTTCAAGGTCACCCTGGACACGAGCAGGGCAGCCAAGGGCGCGCGCTGCCGGCTGGCGCCGCGGAGGCCTCCTCAGGCGCACGAGGTAGAGGTGCAGACGTCTCTGTGGGCGCTGAATTTCCGCGACGTGCTCGTGTCCGTGGGTGCGATCGATACAGAGGTGGCTGGGCAGGATCTGGGCATCGGGGGTGAGTGCTACGGAAGGGTGACTCGCGTTGGCGCCGACGTGGTGGGCATCGCCGAGGGCGACTTGGTCATGGCAGTTCCGCCAGATGGCATGGGCTCCTTCGCCAACATCGACGCTCGCTGGGTATGCCAGGCTCCATCCGGTATGACAGCGGAGGAGGCGGTCTCTGGCACGTGTGCCTACGCTACTGCCTGGCTGGGGCTGCACTGGATGGCCCGGATCCAGCGAGGGGACAGCGTGCTGATCCACAGCGCGGGGGGGGGAATCGGGCTGGCGGCGGTGCACCTATGTCTGCGCGCGGGCTGCACGGTCTACGCCACGGCGTCTACCACAGAAAAGAGGAACCTCGTGCTCTCCTTGGGCGCAGCCGCCGCGTTCAACTCGCGCGACCCAGCCGCATTCGAGCGGGGCGTTCGGGAAGTGACTGGCGGCGAGGGGGTCGACGTCGTTCTGAATTCCCTGAGCGGTGATGCTTTGGTGGCCTCTCTGAAGCTGCTCCGCCCCTTCGGCCGCTTCATCGAGCTGGGCAAGCGAGACCAGTACGAGAATACACGACTCGGCCTCGGACCCTTTCTTGGAGGTCTCACGTACTCGGCAGCTCATTTTGACGTGCTGATGCTGAGGCAGCCGAATAGGTGCAGACAGTTGCTGGAGGAAGTCTGGAGGGATCTCCCTGACTTGCCGAGGCTTCCCACCAGGTCTTTCCCAATCGGCCAGCTCTCCGAGGCTTTGGAGTACTTCTCCAAGGGCGTGCACGTGGGCAAGGTCCTGGTGTCTATCGAGGACACGCCTGCGATCCCCGCATTGCCGAGGGCAGTCTCTGGCCCCCCAGGCGACGAGGTGGCCGCCACGCTGCGGCGTTCGCTGAGCGCAGCAGACGGGCCTGGCGGCCTGGTTTGCGTTCCCTCTCTCCAGTCGTTGTCGACGACGGCCCAGCTGGAGGGTGCCCAGGCGATTGCCGGTGCCCTTGTGGAACCATGATCCGTCGACCAGGACTCGGTCGGGCCGCGTGTCTCGCCGAACCGGCGATCGTTCCATCGGACTTTCGAACAGCAGTGCGCTCGCTGATTGAGAGCAGGTCGCTCAAGCAGGAGCGAAGCGTCGTGGCTTGTTCATGGGTTCACCAAAGAATGTTCAAAGAACCTACTGCTGTTTTCATGACATGTTCTTAGAGCATTCCTGGCTGAGACTGTCTTGTTTCAGCACGTTTGCTCTATGGTCTAAGAACATGGTTTGCCTTCTTAGCACGTTCTTGTGTTCTGAGTAATAGCATGTCGTGGTGGGCCTGTAGGGATGCCGGGACGGTCGGTTCTTGCTCAGGTCGTGTGCCAGCTTAGAGGTCTCGGAATCGCCACTCAGGTCACGGCATCCGGAGCCGTCGCGGCGCTGGCGCGGGCCGTGTGCCCAGGCGCGCTCTGTGTGCAGCTGGCGCGTTGGGAGCATCTGCCGGCTTCGGCGCTGGACGAGTGGCTGTCCCTCGGCGGAAGCCTGGTGGCCTCGGAGGAGGACCGGCAGCGAGCGATGGGGGGGAAGTGAGAAGGGGAAGGCCTTCTCGGAAAGCGGCGGGGCTCCTCAAAAGCGCTCGCGCTTCCTGAGAAGTTCTCTGCGTCTTCGGGGAAGGCTCAGAAAACTTCTCGGCAGGCCAGGCGACTTCAGAGCCTTCTGGGAAGGCCTTCTCCTCCTCACTTCCCCTCCAGGGCTCGCCGCCGAGAGGAGGCCGGTGGGAACCTGCGCGAGTGGTTGGTGGAGGTCGTCTCCGAGATGGCGGGCCCCTTCGAGATGGACGCCGCCTTTGAGAGCACGGGCCTGGACTCCCTGAGCCTCATTTCGCTGGCCCGCCGGCTGTCGGCGAAGGCTGGGAGGGGCGTGTCGGTCGCGGACTCGGATGGCCGCGGTCCGTCGGTCAGGGATGATCAGGCCGCCGGTGATGGGCCTGTTTTCCACCACCACTACCATAAGTTGAAGGGGGAAGAAGGTGGAGGACGAGGAGGAGGAGGAGGAGGACCCCCTCCCCCTTCCAACATAGAGGTGGGGGTGGAAAACAAGCCCGTCAGCTGGTCTGGCGAATCCGCCGGTCGATCGGGACTGGGCTCCTCGATCCGTGGGCGCTGGGCGCTCAGGAGTGCACCAGGCCCGCCGCCTGAGGCCCAGGGTCGGGCTGGTGATCACCCTTGCTGTGGGGGTGCTTCCAAGGTCGCCGACCTTTATGACCACCCGACGCCGCAGCTGTTGCTGGACTCCCTCACGGGGTCGCCGCAGGCTCCTCTGGTGAGACCCAAGGCCCTCTGCCTTCACGGGTTTCGCTCCAACCGCGACGCCTTTGCTGCGGCGGCCGCGCCGTACGTCAGCGCCGCGGCCGGTCTTGTCGAGTGGACCCTGCTGCGCGCCTCCTCTCTCCTCTTTTGTCTCTGCTCTCTCCGCTCCTACCTGCTCTCTCCCCTGTTCTTTCTTCCCCCCCCTCTCCTCGCCCTCCGCGCCCAGGATATTCGTCAACTCGCCCAGGAGGGCGACTGGGCCAGCCGACCCGAAGGTCCCCATTGAGGAGGCGTACGAGTGGTGGGGCCAGTGCGGCGGCTCATTCGAGACGGGTTGGATGGGCCCAGCCTTCGATGGAATCGATGAGACGCTGCCTTAGCAGATCCACGGTTTGTCGACCAGGGCCTTGTCAGGCCGCTGATTTGGCCGATCCGAGTGGTGGAGTAGGCCCTCGATCGTTGGGTTCCTTTGCGTTCTGAGACGCACGGGACCAGCTGGATCAGAATCAGGCCGTGGGCCAGCTTTGATCGGGGGAGGGCTCTTCTAAGGACGTTGCCCATGGTGAAGCGAATGGCGCCTGTTGGTGTCGTGGGCTTCAGCCAGGGCGCTGCGGTGGCCTCCCTGGTCGACTGCGCCTGGGTGGCGCTCTTCTCGGCCGTGGTCCCCCCTGGTCTTCATGACCGGGCAACGCCCTCATTCCACTGCTACGACCCGGCGGAAGAATACGCCGAGCAGATGGAGGAGGTGGCCGTCATCTTCCGTCTCTCGTAATCAGACAAATGGGTTCTGCGGAAGATGGTGCCCTCAGTTTGTTCCTCCGTGTTCGGCCTCCTGGGGCCTCTTGCTGTCTTTATAACGCCACACCGCCATCCGCCATCCCGCGCTGCTGGCCCGGTGCCCCCGGGCTTGAATTGTTCCGCGGGTGTCCTTCATTTGTCCCGTACAGCCAACCTGCATAGTAAGGACGGGCAACCTTACCAAGGGTACTCTTGTATCCTTGCCCCTTCGGCCCTTCTTTGAACAACGCGGGCATGGCCCCCCAAGGCCCTTCCATCCTTACCGCGCATCCTTATGATACGGGTTGACTGTAGTTGCTCCTGCGCTGGTTGTGTGCATCGTCCTGTGCGGTTGCCCTGTGCAGTTGTTCCGTGGTTGTTCCGTGCAGCTGTCTGGTGCAGTTGTCCCGTGGTTGACCTGTGGTCGTAAGGTGGTTGGGTATGTTGATGTGCGTACATCTGTACAGGTGCACATATATATACATATATGGTTGTAGATCAATGTGTGTAGCACCCCGCAGTTGCTGGTAAGAGTGAGGGGGCGGGCACGGGGTGGGTCGCGGGTGTGTCGTGGGTGGATCGCAGGCGGGCTAGCGACAATAGACAACAATAACATAAACATCAACACTCATTACAATCAGAGTAATACTGTTCGCTCTTATTTCCCAACACTCGATATCCACGCTCTTCTTCGATCGTATCCCCTTGGGGACATATCTCTGTCTGACCTGCAACGTGCATTTCGTGCAGCACCCAAGGCAGGGGAAGAGAGGACGGATGGAAGGAAGGGACAAGGAGGGAGAGGAGGATTGAGTACGGGAGAGAGTAGCAGAAGGGGGGCTAGGAGAAGAAAACAAGTGGCAGAACCAGACGGGCAGATCGGGCGGGTAGACCTTAACAGGCGGGCCCAGGCGGCCAGGTCGAACAGGCGGGTTGCGGAAGCGTGAGTTCTGTACGATCGCGAGGAAGTCTCGAGCGACAGCGCGAATCCAAAATACATTTTGTGTCGGGATCCAAAGCGAGAGCGTGATTCCTGAGTGTCGAGGGCGCGGCGCCTGAATCAATTGCGAGGAATTTTTGAGTGTCGAAAGCGCGACGCCCGAATACACTGCGAGGAAGTGCCATGCGAGAGCGCGAGTCTTCGATCAATTGCAAGGAAGTCCCTAGCGAGAGGTCGATCCTTCAATACATTGCAAGGGAGCATCAGGCGGGAGCAGTTGTTGTTGTAAACTGTGAGCCCAGGGCATTGTTTGAGCAGGGAGACTTGCTCCGGTAAAAACACAGCGAGCCCCGGGAGGGGCGCTTCAATTGGCAGAGACGCGTCTATTATGCGAATTTGTGAGTCCTGCATTATTCACCAGGAAGTCTCGGGCGCGAGCGCGATTCCTAAGTAAATGATGAGGAAATCCCAAGCGAGAGCGTGATTCCTGAATGACGAGCGCGTGGCGCTTGGATAACTTGCCAGGAAATCGCAAGCGAGAGCGCGATTCTTTGATACATTGCAAGGCAGTCCCTAGCGAGGGCGCGACTCCTCAGTCAATTGCGAGGAAGTGCTCGGCGGGAGCCGTTGTTGTTGTAGTCCAGGGGCCAGGGGCGCCGTTTGAGCAGGAAGATTTTCCCTGATAAGAAACCGGGTGCGAGTCCCGGGAGGGGAACTTCAATTGAACGAGCACATATGTTACCAGAGGGGGATCAACAATCATTATTCAGTAGTGGGGGTTCAACAACAGCAGCAACAGCAACAACAGCAACAACAACAACAACACTCAGCTTCATATTGTTCGCTGTTCCCTGCTCGCGAGCCGTTCATCCTATATATCCCGAACCCTCGGTAACCGCCCTCTTTGTTTTCGATGGTGCCCCCTCTGGGGGTACATCTTCCGTACCTGCCGCGTGTAGTTGGTGCAGCTTTTGAAGCAGGGGAAGAGAGGACGGTTGGAAGGGGGAGGGAGAAGGATGGAGCACGGGATTCGCAGGCTGGGGGTTAGGAACAGAAAACACGTGGCATAATTAAACAGCCTACCGGGTGAGTAGAGCCTTACGGGCGGGTCGGGAAGGCGGGCCCAAGCGGCCAGGTCGAGCAGGCGGGTTGCTGAAGCGTGAAGATTGCATGAATCGCGAAGAATGCTCGAGCGATCGTGCGATTGTGAAATAAGTCGTGAGAAAGGCCAAAGCGAGAGTGCGATTCCTGAGTGCCGAGCGCGCGGCGTCTGAATACATTGCGGGGAGGTCCTACGGGACGTCCCGCGCTATAACGCGAATTGGAAATACTTTGTAGGGAAGTCTCAGTCGGGAGCCGTTATTGTTGTAACTCGGCGGCGAGGAGCCCAATGTGGTGACCCCTCGCTTTCCCTTGTAACAGAAAACCGGGTGCGAGCCCCGGGGGCGTATTTTTTATGTGCCCCGGGAAGGGCGGGGATCAACATAGATCATTCCAGAATTCAGCAGCAACACTAACAACACCACCACCAACAACCACAACAACACCAACAACAGCCATATTTTCAACACTGGTCGCTCCTATCTGCTCGTGGGCCATTCAACACGTATATTCCAAACCATCGATACCCGCCTTCTTCGTCTCCGATCGTGACCCCTTGGTGATTTCTCTCTCTCTCTCTCTCTGACCTGCAACGTGCATGTCGTGCAGCCCCTTAGGCAGGGGAAATGAGGATGGAGGGAAGGAAGGGACAAAGGGGACGGAGGAGGATGGAGCACGAACGAGAGTAGCAGGAGGGTGTCTAGGAGCATAAACCACGTTGCAGAATCAGGCGGGCAGATCGGGCGGGTAGACTCTAACGGGCGGGTCGGGAAGGCGGGCCCAGGCGGCCAGGTCGAACGGGCGGGTTGCTGAAGCGTGCGTCCTGCATGAATCGCGACGAAGTGTCGAACCACATCGCGATTTCCAAAGAAGTCGTGAGAAGTCCACAGCGGGGGCGTTAGTCGCACCACGTAGACCTCGTACTAAAAAATGCACCGCATAGAAACAGGGGTTGCACCACACGGGTTGAAACGCGTAGATTGCAGCACATGGGTTGCACAGCGTAGATCGCACAACTGACAGTCCTTAACATATACTGGACCACTTACAGTACATAACATATACATATCTTGTCTAGACGACTATTGGGATATACCTCCCCCGCTGGATTTGACGCTTCGCCTTTTCGTATTGCAGTTTACATATGACTCTGCCAAATCGCTCATCCCAGATACGAGTTCGTACCATCTCGGGCAGACGCTGGTCGGCTCCCCCGCATCCTCTGCAAGAGCGATATGCGCACGCATTTGTCCATGAGAAATCACCCGTTGCTTAAAATGTATTGCAAGATTCTGGGCAAAGTGCACACCCGCGCGTCGTCGCGCGCGCATGCCGACATCCTTCACAAATCCTGAGTACCGCGAGGATTTCAAAATCGATTGCCCGAGAGAACATGTAAAAACCACAAATGGTTTCGCAACGCGAACCTTCAAACAAGCGTGCCGGAATCGTTCGAAGGCCCCCTTTGCGCGCATTGTCGCATTAACGGGACGAAATGCACGCGCGCGTTGTCGCGCGCGCATGCCGAATTTCTTTAACAATTGGACAGGCTTCGGAATTTCAGAATAGAGCGTCTCAATGAAATAGCACATGGTTTTGCAACATCAATTTTCAAAAAAAAGTCTGCGTGCGCGCTCTTGTGGAATTTTTAAGATAATCATCGTTTGTCCAAAAACGTTTGTATTCCATCAATCGGGCCTTTCGCGCCTCATGCCGAAATCATTCGACCGCCCTTGCGCGCGTACTGGGGGTGACGCTCCTTGCCAAAGAATAACATGCGGCCCACTCGCACGCGTCGGCCGCGCGCGCATGTCGCATTCTGTTTACAATTTTCATCACCGACGCGAGGACATGGTCATCTTCATCGGCGGGCGGGATCAAGATCGGTGCCGTCATTGGCCTTGCCGTCGTCACCGCCACCATCGTCACCATCGTCACCATCATCGGTAGTAGCATCATCCTGTCTACCGTTGTCGGCGTCGCCATGATACACGCCCGCTCAATTCACCGATTTGCCATGCTGTGCCCGCTGGGAAGTGCCCGGCGGTCAGCGCCACCGCGGCCGCGTCAGTCGCGCCAAATTAGTTGGCCGCTGTGCGCGCGAGCATGCGCGGGCGACTGCGGCCGCAGAAATGCACCAGCCAATGCCGCGCAGTCATTGAAATCGCCGCCGCATGGGTTTTGTAAACGCGGGTGGGTGGGTGGGATGCTCGCGCGGGCAGTGGAGTTGACAGTTGCGGGTTCCACTGGTGACTTGCAAAACGTAGGTTGCACCACGTATGGCACAACATATGTCGTACCGCGTGTTTTTTTTTTTCCTACGTTGACTGCGCCACATAGCTTGCACACCATCTATTAAGCCGCGTACATAGCACCACATGAGTTGCGCCACGTGGCCTGCACCTCATGGAGTGCACAACATGTATTGCATCACGCAGATTGCACCAATTAGGTTAGACACCATAGATTTCATAACTTATCATGCGCCGCAGATGGTGCAACACCGATTGCTAGAAGCACATTGTTTGGGTTCCGGGATGTCGGACATGATGGGTCCACTCATGTCTGTACATATACAGTGTTGGCAGAAGAACGGCTTGGATTGGTGGATCAATCGTCAGGTTCGTGGCTGGTAAAGCTCTGCTGTAATATATTGGAGTGCAAACACAACCAGCCCCCCTATGGAATAGCGTTTTGACACAACGTGGTTCGCGACTGTCCTGTCTTGTCCCAGCCGCCCCCAGAAGGCCCAAGACAGCCCGGAGCAGCCAAAGAGGAGCCCAAGAGGACCTTCAGAAAAACCTACAGGACCCAGCAGAAATCCAGACGTCCCCAGTAAGACACCGAGCCGATCCTACAGAACGCGAAGACGGCCCAGTAGGACGCCTGAGGGGTGCCCTACGAGTCCAACGCGTGGGGTTGACATTGGCCCCTGCCGACCTCCATCATGCTCGGGGCGTCAGAGCTGTCACTTCGAGAGCAGCACCACGACTTTGGCCAGTTTTTCTTTGGGGGGCGAAGACCTTCGTTTCCTCCGATCGCGCTTTCTCCCAGCACTGCCGACGTCGAAAGATTATACTCCCGCGCGCAAGGGCGCGGTCGTTTTCGATCCTTGGGCACTGTCGCAGACACACTGACCAGTTTTCCGATCTGCGTCCAGCCATGGCCGAGGAGCCCCCCTTTCCCCCCGATGCCCAGGAAGCTTGAAACACTGCGAGAGAGACCTCGCGTCAACTCGAGAGGTGGCGGTGCGCTTTAGCAGCAAGGAGGTCTGCACTCACCACGCCGGGCACAGCATCCCAAAGGACGCGGGCGACGATAATTATTCATTAGAGCAAGAGGTCATGTTAATGATGCGTTCCAAGATTTCCCAGAGTTGAAGAATTGCCTGTATTTCCGTACGTTCCGCACGAGCTGCGCCGCTACATGCCCTCGGAATCTTGGAACGTATCTTGAGCCAATCTGATCATGACATCATTATTGCCCTGATTACGCGCATACGCCGATCGTCAAGAGAGGGGTGAACACCTCGACCCCGACACTCAGCGTTTCCCGAACGGCCCCCCGGGGCGTTGACGAAACAGCCTTGCCCTGTTCGATTCCTTCCTTGGGTGCGTTTACTGAACGGCTTCCATTGACGGGGCGTTTGTTATGGGGATGGATATCCTTCTGGGTTGGATTATTTGGGGGTGCTTAAAATGGGGTGCTTATGATTGAGGTGAGGAGCAGGAAATGGAAGAGGAGAAGGAGGAGGAAGAGGACAAAGTGGGAGGAGGATGAGGATAAGAAGGAGGAGGTGGGAGGAGGAGGTGGGAGGAGGAGGAGGAGGAGGAGGAGGAGGATGAGGAGGAGGAGGAGGAGAGGAGGTGGAGGACAAGGAGGATGTGGGAGGAGAGGGGAGGAGGAGGAGGTGGGAGGAGGAGGGGGGGGAGGAGGGAGGAGGAGGAAGCGGAGGAGCAGGAGGTGGGACGAGGAGAGAGGAGGAGGAGGAGGAGGAGGAGGGAGGAGGAGGGAGGTGGAGGAGGATGGAGGAGGAGGAGGAGGAGGAGGAGAGGAGAGAGGAGGAGAGGTGAGAGGAGGAGGAGGAGGAGGAGGGAGGAGGAGGAGGAGGAGGAGGAGGAGGAGAGGAGGTAGAGGAGGGAGGAGGAGAGGAGGAGGAGGAGGAGAGGAGTAGAGGGAGGAGGGAGGAGAGAGGAGGGGGAGGAGGAGGAGGAGGTGGAGGAGGAGAGAGAGAGGAGAGAGGAGGAGGAGGAGGAGGAGGAGGAGAGGAGGAGGAGGAGGAGGAGGAGTGGGGGTGGAAGGCGGAGGAGGGAGGAGGAGGAGAGGAAGAGGAGGAGGAGGAGGAGGAAGGAAGAGGAGGAGGAGGAGGAGGGGGGGGGGGGAGGAGGAGGAGGAGGAGGAGGAGGAGGAGGAGGAGGAGAGAGGAGGAAAGGGAGGGGGAGGTGGATGGTTTTTCTGCCCTCCGTATCCTTGCCCTCTCGGGCCCGGTGCCCGGTGCCCGCGCCGTTTTTGCGCCAAGGCCAGGAGGGCGCGCGCGCCTGCTTGTGCTGGGCCCCGGCCCTTGGGCTGGCCTGGCGAGCGCCGCTGCCAGCGCGCAGCCGGGGGCGGCCAAGCGGGGGGTGACGACCCCAGACCTCCTCGCGTCGCGGCAAAATCACGGCGGGAGGTTTCTCGCTATTTCCGGCCTCTGGGGGCCTCCGACGGGCCTCGGGGCCGGCAGAAACGACTCGGGACGAAAAAGCGGTCCCGGGGAGGGGGTCCAAACATTTGGGGGTCGATGTTGCGACAAAAATCACGACGTCGGCGGTGTGGGACTAGAGGAGGGTGGATATCCCACGGGGCCCAAAGGTACACACCACCACCACAATCTCCCCCATCCCTCCACTTGCAAGGAAGAGGAGAGGAAGATGAGGGTGGAGGAGGGAGGGGGAGAAGAGGTGGTGGTGGTTTGGTTTACATTATTTGGGCCCGCATGTCATGGCTGGGGCCATGAGATTTCCCCAGATCTCATGTCGCCGCTTCTTATCTCAAGACGTCCCCGGCCCCTCCCTCCTGGGGCCGCACACATGCCGCCGGCCATGATTTGCGCCAGGCGCCGGAGGCGCCGCCGGGGGGCCCCAGCGCCGATACGAGAAATCCGCGCGGACCTCCGAGTTTTTATGTTTATGTCACTTTTTGTCCCCCTGGTGACGGAACAATCAATTCGGGGGTGAATCAAATTTGCAGTCGATCCCCCACGCGAAGAGTGCACAGCTGTCGCCCCCCCCCGAGGACGACGAGCTCGTCAGGAGGTTCGCGGCCTTCGTCACCGCGGCCTGCGCTGCCGCCCGAGGGGCTCCTTGAAGCCGCGCGCTTCAGAGCAGCCGCAGCGGGTAGCTGGGAGGTGGAGGGGGCGAGGAGGAGGCAGGAGGGAGGGTGCGGGAGGGAAGAGGAGGGAGGGAGGGGAGGAGGGAAGGAGGGAAGGATGGAGGAGGGAGGAACAGGCGGGATGTGAGGCGAGAGGGGCTGAGGAGGAGTAGGAGGGAGGCGAGGTGAGGGGTGAGCGAGGAGGAGGGGGGATGTTGACGTTTGTGGACCCTCGCCGCCACGCCCGGATCCGTCCCGACATCCGATCAGAACGCGCGCTCCAGGCCAGGTCCTAGGATCAAGTGTGAGGAACTGGGGGGGAGGAGGAGGAGGAGGAGGAGGAGGAGGAGGAGGAGGAGGAGGAGGAGGAGGCGATGGAAGGAGGAGAGGAGGAGGAGGAGGAGGAGGAGGAGGAGGAGGAGGAGGAGGAGGAGGAGGAGGAGGAGGGGACGGAGGGATGGAGAAGGAGATGAGGAACGATGAGGATACGAGGAAGGACGAGGAGCGATGAAGATAACAAGGGGTTGGAAGCGAGGGGAGGAGGAAGAGGAGGAGGAGGAGGAGGAGAAGGAGGAGGAGGAGAAGGGTGAGGTGGAGGGGGCTGGAGGAGACGCCTGGGGACTTCAGCTTTCCACATACGAGCATACGTATACCAGTCGCCCTGGCCAAGTCAACACTGCGGGGGGGGCAGGAGAGCATCATTAGCCACATGTCCTGGGCCCCGGGATGGGCATGGCAAAGATCAGTGTGGGTGGGTTGTTGGCAACCCCAGCAGGAGGAGGAGGAGGAGGAGGAGGAGGAGGAGGAGGAGGAGAAGGAACTAACTAGGAGCTAGAAGCTCTGAGGCTGCTCTCCACGGGGCTTTCTGCGCGCGCGTGTGTCAATTTGTGTCTGGGCTCGAGCTGCCGCACGTCTGGTTGACTTGCGCGCAACCTGTCTCGGTTGCACCTGACCCACTGATTGCGCCCCATCAGCGAGTCGGATGAGAAGGTTTGTGTGCGCGCGTGTGTGTATGTGTATATGTGCTTGTGTCCCGCGTTGGCCAGTGGTTGATGCAACGCCGCCGAGGAGGGAACACGTGTCGGAGTGTGCGTGTGCGTGTGCGTGTGCGTGTGAGAGTGTGCTCTTAGGCATCGTTTTTGCAGATGGCGAGCGGGCGACCGAGGCGAAGAGAAAGGGACGGGGGGAGCAGCGGAGAGGCGGCAAGCGCAGGCGGTTGGAGGTGGAGGCGGAGAAGGGGCCAGGAGAGGCGAGCAGGAGCTAGAGTTAAGTCGGGCCTGTCCCTCTTCAGGGGGAATATTCAAAAATAGTAAAAACATAGTCTGGGGACGATTTTTTTAGTATTTTATAATATGTTTTATTTTTCGCCCAAAATCCCCCTGTATGGGGGACAGGCCCGACCTAAAGCTTGAAGGGAGAGGGCGAGGGCAGAGGCAGCGGCAGAAGCACGAGCTCGAGCAGGAGGAGGGGAAGGGAATCTCACGATGGCCGTGCCCTCGAGCCACCGCCCCCGGCCTCGGAGTGCGGGCTGTGCGGCCATACTTTTTGTTCTCCGAGCGAGGGAGCAGGCTGGTGTGCTGTGATTCTGAGGCTCGAAGCTGCGTGCTCCTATCGCAAGCCTTAGCGTTTTCCGCTTCAGCTCGTCCAGAGGCAGTTTTGTGGTAGAAGCGCGTCTTCCAGGAAGGCAGTCACGATGCCTTAATTTCTCAGCCAAGCCATGCCTCGGGGGACCTGTAAGAAGGCCAATGGAGCAGTCCTATGGCTCATTGCTTGTTATGACAGCGTCCGACGCGCGTGCGCCTATTCATTTCCCGCCTCTGCCTCCTTCTCCTCATCGGCTGGCGTTGAGAGCGCCCGCGGCGTGTTCCCTTGTTTTCAGCCCGGCATCTCGGATGTGTTTCAGCGGTTCCAGGGTCCAACGTTGCACTAGCAGTGATCCAACAATCGCACAGCTTGTGTCGTGCTCTCAGCTGTATTCTGACCGGCACCATCGCCACCACCGCTTCGCGACCTGGAGGACAGGCTTGTCGGCACGGCTGCGCTCCACTCGCCCGTGCGCCCGTTTCGATTATGGCCGTCCGAGTTTTGCCGACGAGTGGCGGGTGAGAGGCTGAGTGGGACGTCTGCACGGGCAGCGGAGTTGACGATTGCAATCTTCGACAATGTCGTTGCGAGTCCACTTCGAGAGTGCAAGCGCCATTGTGCGGGGTCCACGCTGACAAACATATAAGCATGAATACATGCATACTCACGCCTACACAGCGATCTGCGCGTATGCCTACATACATACATACATACATGTAGTATGAAGAGAATGCAGCCGTCGCTCCTGGATAGCTCTGGCGTCAAGTGGAGCTTTTGGGAGGCCGCACTTTGAGCGTGCCAACTAACTGGCGTGAGTCCCAGCAAACCCTGAAGCCTCCGCATTACTTTCCGGATGCGGCCGTGCATCTGGAGGCTGTGAGGCTGCGCGTGATCTGGTCGATTCGGATTTTTGGTGGCACGATGACGTGAAACTTGTGTGTGAATATGTACGCGTTTGGGCTTCATTCGTGTATGCACATGTTTCGTTCCGACTCGGAGCCTGCTCCTGCTGATTTCCCGTTGTCCCCGCTCCCACTGTTGAGCTTCAGCGGCTTGGGTTCAAGTCTCTCGCCGAGTGCGAGGCCCCGATCGCGGGCAATGGCGGGCCCAGAGGGGGTCGTCGAAAACAAGCAGTACGACGAGGCCATCTCGATCGACGACGACGAGGAGCGGGCGTATTTAGGACGTGCACCTTGATATCTGGGTGCCGTAAAACAAACGTTTTTCCCGACCGCGTTTTGAGCCCTGCGGCCCTCGCACAACGGTGCAAACCACAACCACGCCTTACCAGTCTGTGATGGTCGGGCCCGTAGGCTCAGTCGTGCATTTCCGCTGCGTCGCGTTCGTTGTTGTTTTCTCTCCACGACGTTGGCGTACCACTGTGCTTCGCATGAGCTTGCGGTCTTCTCCGGACGATGCGACGCCACCGCGCCGTGGCACGCCCTGCCGAGGAGGACGAGGACGAGCTGAGCACGCCGCCCAGCTCCGACGCGGGGTCTCCGCGCGTCGAGCAGCCCAGGGCGAGCCAGGCCGGGGTGGACGCCGACCGCGCCCCCGCAGAGGTTGAGTCGGGCCTGCCCCTCCGCAGGAGGAGTATTGAACACTAGTCAAACAGTCGGCTGGGGACGAGGTTGTCAGTACTTCCTTTGGGGGGCATTTTTCGAACATGCTTTGGGGGGGCTAGGTTGCAGTTTTCGTCCGACACGTCCCCCTGCAGGGGGACACGCCCGACTTGACGCAGAGGTCTTGGCCAGGCCGACGCTGGGCCCGGGATGCGGTGCGCTCGCGCCTGGCCTCCTGGCGGGGGAGGCCAGGCGCGGCCACGGCCCCCTGGGCCCAGGGGCCGGCCCCGGCCAGGACCGCGCGCGTGCGCGCAGGGGGGCCACGGGGGGCGCAAGCGCCACCTCCAGGGCCCAGGAGGGGGGCCCCAAGAATATTCACCACCACCACCACCACGTCGGCTCCTCCTCCCTCCTCTGCCCTCCTCCTCTTCCGCTCCTCTTTCCTGGGAGGGGGAGGGGGCGAGGGAGGTGGTGGTGGTGTATATTTTTGGGCCCCCCACGGGTGGGGCTTCTTGGCCTCCCAGATGGGGGCAGAGCAGACCGGAGTGGAGCATCGCGCCGCAACGCCGATGCGTCGCCCGTGCTTCGGCGGTGCGGCTCGATGTGGGGCCCGATCCTCTCCACGTCGACGTCGCCGATGCGGCGCCGATGCATCGCCGATGCAACGCCGAGGCTGCGGCGATGCGTCGGCGACACGGTGCAACCCTCCGACCCCACCTGCTCGGGCCCCATTTCTGGGAGGCCTCTGCCAGCCGCGGGTCATTGGTGCGTCCAGGGGGGGGGCTTGATGGCCAGGAGGGGGGTGGATCTCATGGCGGGGGCCGGGAGATCTCCCCAGATCTCGTGGCCCCGCTTCTGATGTCCTCCTCAAGATTTGTTTGCACACCACACCCTCGCCGACCCAGTCAGATTCTGCCGCCTGGGGCCCCTTTCAGTACACCAAAGCCGCACCCCAGGGATGGAATCTCGCATACCATACCCACGACTAGGGAGGAGGAGGAGGAGGAGGAGGAGGAGGAGGAGGAGGAGGAGGAGGAGGAGGAGGAGGAGGAGGAGGAGTATACATCGTCCCTCGGAGGAGGAGGAGTATACATGTTTGTTCGGGCGGAATCCCATGCGTCCCTCGGACCCCATCCTAGGAGGCCACGAAGGACGGGCCGCGGCCAGGAGCACCGGGGATGCTGGGGTCACCCGCCAGGGGGTCGCGAAGGCTGCCGCGCTTCGCGCCTGCGGACTCTGTCCCTCTACAGGGGAATCGTAGAAAATAGTAAAACAAATAGCCTGGGGACGATTTGTTTGCCATTTTTGATCATATTGGGGCATTTGTTTGGTATCTTTTTTTCGTCCAAAGTCCCCCTGTAGGGGGACAGGCCCGACCTAATTCCAGGGGCGGACGGGCAGCGTGCAGGCAGCCGTGTCGCGCACGGCGCGGCGCGAGCCGCAGAGCCAGGCGGCCCGAGTCGCGCGCACGGCGTTTGGTAGCAAGTCGGTGAGGGTTTGGTACATCCTCGTAGCTCCGTCTTTGGAGTTCGGAGGTGGATAGACCTCCTACCCTGACACGTCGTTTAAGGAATTGGGCGTTTCGGGTTCACGAGAGGGCGTCGCGGCCGTCATTTTTGCGGGTCCAGGTCCGTCGGTTTCGGTCCCAGGCCGTTTTCACTAAGGGGAGGTTTGCTAAAGGGAGGTTTGTTCACCGCCGAAGAGTGCATTCGCGTGCACCTTGCGTCTGGCCATCGGTGAGGAGGCGCCGACTTGGCGTCGATGCGCGCACGCAGGGCCAGCGTCGACGAGCGTCGGCTGGCGTCGGTCAGCGTCGGCTCGCAAGACCCGGCAAGATGGCGTGGGAGGCTCCCAGGAGTTGCCACCGAGCACGGCGTGCGGTCGGCGTCCGCCCGCCCGAGGGGG